AAGGCAGGCATGTCCAACAGGTAGATCAGGAGCTACTGGTAGATCGCAGGGGATGTCCCAGGTATGAAGTTCAGTGGGTAGATCAAAGCTGGTCTTTTGATACTGTGAGTAGATCGCAGTCTCTTGGTAGTTGGACGGGAGTGAGATAAGGCGTTATCAGGGACTAAGACCTTAGAATTCCTGTAACAATGGCCGCGTCCCCAGTCCCTCCCAGTTCTTGAGGTCCTGAACCCAGCAAGGGTTAGCATCATTGTAATAAAAAAATTAAGGTCTTATATACGTATGATATGGTGCTGGAGGACACTCTTGAGAGTCCCACGGACTGCAAGAAGATCCAACCTCTCCATTCTGAAGGAAATCAGCCCTGAGTGCTCACTGGAAGGACAGATCCTGAAGCTGAGGCTCCAAGACTTTGGCCACCTCATGAGAAGAGAAGACTCCCTGGAAAAGACCCTGATGTTGGGAAAGATGGAGGGCACAAGGAGAAGGGGACGACAGAGGACGAGATGGTGGGACGGTGTTCTCGAAGGTTTGACCAAACTGTGGGAGGCAGTGGAAGACAGGAGGGCCTGGCCTGCTCTGGTCCAGGGGGTCACGAAGAGGCGGACACCACTAAACGACTCAACAACAACAAATATAAGAGCTTGCACCCCATTTTTCTGGGTTCCTCCTCCCTCCTGCGTGTGGGGAGTGAGGACCCTGTTGCAACAGATCAATAAAGATCAGGCTTATGAGCTGCTTGGCTTCTCAATATTCTCTGCTTGGCCTATTTTCTCCTACCGATAGGGAACCCACTTAAGGACTCTAGACGGGCTCTTGGGTACCCCATAAGGGGAAAAGGGCAGATTTTGTTTACAACATCATCTCCAGGATTCGGAACCAGTGGGACAAGTTTTCCGGTGGCCTCAATGTCATCATCTGCACCTGAACTAGGTTGCAGGAGCTGCAACTGAGGGGGGCCCCCCGCCGGGTTCATGGGTGGGGCTTTTTCTTTCCGCCCCCTCACCCAGCTGCTAGGCAGGAAAACAGGAGCCAGGGTGGAGTCAGAGAGCTGGAAGGAAGAGAGACACAGATCTGCCTCCTTTGCCTCAGATCCAAAGCTCTGACTAACGCAGAAGCGAGATTTGCTGAGCTGTTGATGTTGCGAGCATCTCCACCCCATGCACAGGTGAGTCTTACCTTCCGAAACGAAACCATGCACCCTAGAGCAGGGGGCAGTAGCCTTTTTCAGCCATGGGCCGGTCCCCTGTCCCTCAGACCCTGTGGGGGGCCAGACTATATTTTGAAAAAAATAAATAAATGAACGGATTCCTATGCCCCACAAATAACCCAGAGATGCGTTTTAAATAAAAGGACACATTCTACTCATGTCAAAACATGCTGATTCCCGGAGCATCCGCAGGTCAGATTGAGAAGGCGATTGGGCCGGATCCGGACCCCGGACCTTAGGTTGCCTACCCCTGTCCTAAAGTAATAACCACCGTTCGTTCTCCGACTTTCCCCCTGGGAATAAAGCTTCCTTGGACCTCACCAAACTTTCCGTCGATAAGAAAGATTATTACAGCGGTCCCTTGGTTCTCAAACGCCTTGGCACTCAAACAACTTGGAACCCAAACACTGCAAACCTGGAAGGAAGTGTTCCGGTTTACGAACTCCTTTTGGAAGCCAAACGTGATCCGTTTTGAGTGTTACGCTTCCGATTTGAGCGTTATGCTGAGGTCTGTTTGCGCTATTTATTTTGCGTTTTTGTGGCTCTTCTTTTGTTTCTGTGACTGTGTGGAACCCAGTTCAGCTACTGATCGATTGATTGTGCGACTGCGGAAATGGATAAAAGCCCCCCATCCAAACAATGACTATCATCCATACACGTGAAGAAAAAAAAGTTCGTTTTAATTTTTATCACCTACAATACTGCCTTATTTATTTTATAGTACGGCACACTGCTTTCATTTTAGGGATCGATGGTCTCGTTAGATGGTAAAATCCATGTTCAATTGCTGTTTTAGGGGTTGTTTTTAAAACTCTGGAACGGATTAATCCATTTTGCATTCCTTTCTATGGGAAAAGCAGGCCTTGGTTTTGGAACGCTTTGGTTTTATTCAGTTTGAGAACCAAGGGACCACTGTATTATCAAAATCTGCAGGCTTTTGGCTGTTTGCAAGGAGCACGTCGAGCGAAAGCCATTGAAATAGCACCGGGCGACAGATGCTCCCCTAAATTCAGCTGAAAATGCAACTTTTATTTGCTCCCCTCCCTGGTTTGAAGGTGGTAATATTCTTTATATTCTATTCTTGAAATCCCTGCTGCAGACGGTTCAAAGGCAGCCAGCCTTAGCCACCTTCCAAAAACGGGAACTGCCACCCCCTCGTGCCCAGATTAAGACCCACGACTCTCACTTCTCTTTTCCGGAAAAAAGCCTCACTCTTTCTCTTCCTCCTTCTCAAGAGATTCTGTTCCTTAAAACGTTCTAAGAAAACGCAAAAAAATTAAAAAGGTCTTGCCTTTATATCCCTTTAATTTCCCGCCAGGAAAATTCTGCCAACAGGTCCAGTCTGTTCCAGATCTCCCTCTGGCGAGGGATGGAAAGATCACAGCTGGGAGGGACCCCCAGGGGTCATCCAGCCCAACCCCGCCAACACGGGTGTCGCCGCTCAAGTTCAGAGTCGAGTGTTGAGCTGGGACTTGGGTTCGAATCCTCGCGCTCGGCCAGCAAGCACCTTGGGGGTCCCTCCTTCAGCCCAACCTCCCTCCACGCAGGGTCGCTGTGGGGATTCGATGGGGACCCGGGTTCGAATTCCTGCTTGGCGAGGAAGCGTGGGCCAGCCGCCCCCTCCCAGCCTACTTTGCAAGGTTGCCGTGAGGCTAAAAGCAGAGAGCCCCGCAAGACGCCTTGAGAACTTTGCAGGAGAGAAAGTGGCAAATAAATGTGAAAAAGCCACAATAAACCTGCTGCAACTCTCCAGCGACCCACAGAGATTTACAGCGTTTAAAAATGAATGTACCCCCTTCAAGTTCAATTTTAAGTCTATTTAAGCTTACTCAGAATTAAAGAACCTTTTAATGAGGGTGAAAGAGGAGAGCGCAAAATATGGTCTGAAGCTCAACATCAAAAAAACGAAGATCATGGCCACTGGTCCCATCACCTCCTGGCAAATAGAAGGGGAAGAAATGGAGGCAGTGAGAGATTTTACTTTCTTGGGCTCCATGATCGCTGCAGATGGTGACAGCAGCCACGAAATTAAAAGACGCCTGCTTCTTGGGAGAAAAGCAATGACAAACCTAGACAGCATCTTAAAAAGCAGAGACATCACCTTGCCAACAAAGGTCCGTATAGTTAAAGCTATGGTTTTCCCAGTAGTGATATATGGAAGTGAGAGCTGGACCATAAAGAAGGCTGATCGCCGAATTATGGATGCTTTTGAATTCTGGTGCTGGAGGAGACTCTGGAGAGTCCCATGGACTGCAAGAAGATCCAACCTCTCCATTCTGAAGGAAATCAGCCCTGAGTGCTCACTGGAAGGACAGATCCTGAAGCTGAGGCTCCAATACTTTGGCCACCTCAGGAGAAGAGAAGACTCCCTGGAAAAGACCCTGATGCTGGGAAAGATGGAGGGCACAAGGATAAGGGGACGACGGAGGACGAGATGGTGGGACAGTGTTCTCGAAGCTACCAGCATGAGTCTGACCAAACTGCGGGAGGCAGTGGAAGACAGGAGGGCCTGGCGTGCTAGAGGGGTCCAGGGGGTCACCAAGAGGCGGACACCACTAAACGACTCAACAACAACAACCCGTTCAAGTTCAATTTTAAGTCTATTTAAGCTTAGTCAATAATAATAATAATAATAATAATAATAATAATATTTATACCCCACCCTCCCCGGCCAGAGCCCGGCTCAGGGCAGCTAAAACCAGTAAAATTACAGTAAAAACATAATAGGAAAAGAAAAAAAACCATTTAAAGTACAGGTTAAAATGAAATTTAAAATGCAGCCTCATTTTAATAGTAGCCCATAGTAGATCAAGACCATAAGGGGAGGGAAACATAAGGGTCAGACCGAGTCCAAACCAAAGGCCAGGCGGAACAGCTCCATCTTGCAGGCCCTGCAAGAGACCCTTAAACTCACGGTCCCGGGTTCGAGAACCGTTTTGGGCAAAAGGGGGCTGGACTAGATGACCGTTGGGGGTCCCTTACCGTTCTTAATTCTGCAATTCATTACAAAACTATGTTTCTTCCGTCTCGCCTTCACGCACGAGGAGACAGAGTCGGAGGGACGGAAATAACCGCGACGCCCCAAACAAAGCCACGTTTTGCATGAACACCTTTTATTTTATTTTTAAAGTACCGTACAAAACTTTGCTTTTAAATAATTCTCCCCTCCCTCCCCCTTTGTTAATCTATGTTTATCTTACAGTAACAAATCTCGGACACAAATACACGACGGTTCTCGGGTGAACTTTCTCGTTTGCTGGAAACTTCGGCGGGGGCAGGAATAATTAAGAAAAGACCCACTTAAACATCCAAAATTGATGAGGGGGGAGGCAGGAAATGGGGGTTTGGGGTGCATCAAAATGTTATATTGCATATCTGTGTATAACCTAGAAAGGGGAAATGGTTTTTTGCAACTGGGGGCACTTTCGTAAACGACTCCTTTGCACAACCGAGATGCACACTTGGGTTATAACTTTTTGACTTTCTCCCCAAAATACTGATTTCCTGTAGCCTAAAGGGATGAAATTTTGCTTGGAAACACTGAAAAGGCGACTAATTCGTCCCCAAAAACGGGGGGAAGGAAAAGTTGGGAGTCAGGTTGCTACAAATAAGTACCTGCACTTAAAAAAAATAAATCACGGAACAGTTTCGAACTTTTCCCAGCTGCCCGGAACTTCCTGAAACGGCCGAGAACGTTCTGAAAAAATCCAAAAAACGGTCTATATATATAAAAAAAGGGCAATTCAAGAGATTGTGGGAACTCGATGGCGTTTGCGGCAGAAAAAGAAAAGCCGCCACTTCGATTTATTCAAAGCAATAAGGGGTGTGCAATGTACAAAACAATGCACAAGTATTCGGAAGTTTGCAAGCTCTGAACGAAGAAAATTAAATTAAATTTGCAAGCTCTGTTTTTCCTGTATGCTGTGCATACATTACAAAATGCATTATACGGTCCCCTGGGCAAAAATCGATTTATTGATTTCTTGATTTAGAGAAATAACCTTTCCCCCAAAGATTTGGAAATGGCAAGACGGTTCGCTTTTAGGCAAAAGTTCATCCGGCTGAGCTGCGAGGTTGTCAAAAAGTTATAACCCTAGCTCTCTCTCACACACATATTTGGTAGGGTGCCAAAATATGGATTTTATTTTTTGGGGGGAGAGGAAGAGAGCATTTCTTGGGGGGGGGAGATCCTAAGGGGCTTCCTGCTAGGAAGACAAAAAGGAACCGGTCCTGGGTTCGAATGGCGGACCCGAACAAGGCCTGTCGCACGCACAAAACACAACCCATGTTACGCAAGGGGAGGGGGGAGATTTGTAGTGTTCAAATGGCTCTTTTTCGGGGGGGAGGAAAAAAGGATTTTGCAAGCCCCCCCGCTCCAGGCTTTGGGGTGCAGAGAGCAGGCACACATGGGGTGTGCAAACGGGAACCCCGATTTTAGGAAGGGGAGAGATTGGCTTGTTCCTGTTACCCCCGTTATCCGCCCCCTTGGCTTGGTGGGGGGCAACAAATGGCTTTACACGGAAAGAGGAGAAAGGGGGGACCCCAAGAACGCCCCAGACTTTTTCCTGGCACAGGAAAAGGAAGCCTCACGGGGGACGCAAAACCTGCGCCCATTTTACAACCGTGGCAAACCGAGGCAGAGACACGGAAGTGAGTGGGATTTTTTTTGGGGGGGGGGTTAGGTTCTATTTCCCTGCCCAGCAGCTGGTAAAATAACTTGAGAGATAGGAGATGGCTGCAAGAGGGCTTGTTTTCCTCTCTCTCTCTTTTTTGCATATTTAAGAAGAAACGAAACATAATTCTGCATAGGAGACCCAACACTGTTGGGCTGGGGGGGGGCGAGTGCGGAGGGCTGGGGGGCGGCGTAAAAAATAAAATTAAAAATAGGAGTGCCCCCCTGCGAAACAAAAGGAGCCAAATTGTCCCCACGGGAACAGCGAGTACCAGATTTGTCTCTGCCAAGAAAAATAAGATCTGTGCCCGTCCTTCACAGATAAGGAGCGTTGGTTGTTTTTTTAGGAGGGGGGGACCTGAAAAAGCTTTAGGAAAGTCGCTGCCCCCCCCAGTGGAGAAAGCATTGCTAGCACCAAAAAGAAAGGGGAAAGTTGGAAAGGAAAACAGCCCCCGAATGCTGTTGCAAAGGAAAATAATTGAAATATATATATATATATATATATATTGGGGTTTGGGGGCGAAAGGGAGAGGAGGTATAGAGAGGGGGAAAGGGGCAGTTTTTCGGGGAGGGGGAATTTCGTGGAGCAGAGAGCCCCCCAACCCGGCCTTCATCTGGGGGGCAGCGGGAAAATGGGGTAGGCCAGGGTGACGTTGAGCGAGTCGTTGTGTTGCACCAGCGAGGTGTGTTTGTAGTGGAGGACCAGTTCCTTGAGGGAGGCGTAGAGGTTGTAGGGCTCCGCAAAACCGAACCCGGTGGCCGTCTTGTAGATGACGCAGTGCTTGGTGTCGCCGTCGACCCTGCAGGGCGGGCACAGGGAGGGGGAAAGCGTCAGAGAGGCGCCGAACGGTTCCTTTAAATATTAAGGTTCAGTATCGTGCCACAAGACGGGCATCTCTTTAAAGGCCAGGGCAAAATATCATGACCTGGTTTTGCAGCCGCGAAGCAGGTAACCGACTCCGAAAATTCATTATTCAAAAAATGTAACCTTCGTCTGGTTGTAAATATTAAGGCTGAACCTTTCCGTAAAAAAGAAGATTTAAATCTGAGTCTTACTGACCAGCGATTTAAATCGTGAAGGGCATCACTCCACGACTCTACCATCCCGCAACCGCACAACGTCTCTCTGGTACGCACATAAGAAAAGCAGGCACCGTTTTCCCCCTTCCCAAACCGGAAAAGCAATTAAAAACCAACGCGTCACCAGTGGGTTGGGATGGATGACCTCCCAGGGTCCCACTCCATGACTCCACCATCCCACAACTGCACAACTTCTCTCTGGCACGCAAATAAGAAAAGCAGGCAGCGCTTTCCCCCTTCCCAAACCAGAAAAGCCATTAAAAACCGACGCATTGCCAGCGGGTTGGGATGGATGATCCCCCGGGGTCCCACTCCATGACTACAATCTCGCAACCGCACAACTTCTCTCTGGCATGCACATAAGAAAAGCAGGCACCGCTTTCCTGCTTCCCAAACCGGAAAAGCCATTAAAAACCAATGGGTTGCAAGCAGGCTAGGATGGATGATCCCCCGGGGTCCCACTCCATGACTCCACCATCCCACAACTGCATAACTTCTCTCTGGCACGCACATAACGAAAGCAGGAACCGCTTTCCAAACCGGGAAAGCAATTAAAAACCAATGGGTTGCAAGCAGGTTGGGATGGATGACCCCCCGGTGTCCCCCCCCAAGACTCACACGACGGAGCAGGCGTAGCAGCCGCGCTGGCTGCTCTCCCGGATGAGGAAGGTGCCGTCCCTCTTGCCGGCCAGCATCTCCTCGGCCTGCGTGCGGTTGATCTTGCCCACGTACCACGTCCGCTCCTCGTGGTGAGGGAGCTCCTCCTCGTCCTCCATCATGGAGTAGTGGCTGCCGAAAAAGCGGAAAGGTTGCAGCGAAGAGAGAGGCCCCTCTTTCCGCTGGCCAAGGGGAGAGGGTGGTCTCCTCCCTGCCCAGTTTGGGTGCCCAGCGCCCCAGTTCTGCCCCTTCCCCAGGATCCTGCCGCCCCAGTATCCTGCCTCCGACGGGGGACAGCCTCAGGCGCCGAAAGGTCGACGGCGATGGGATATGATGTCGAGGTGGCAGAGACCCACCGGGGGAATGAAGGGACGGAAGGAAGAACGAGACGATTCTTCGAAGGGTGGAAAGAATAAGAATATCCTGGTTGTGTTAAGAATGGAAGGGTCTTGGTGGTGGGGTTTTTATTCTTGTTTATTTGTGATTGTTGCTTTGTCAGAATAAAATGAAAGGGGAAGGAAGGAAGGAAGGAAGGAAGGAAGGAAGGAAGGAAGGAAGGAAGGAAGAAGGAAGGAAGGAAGGAAGGAAGGAAAGGAAGGAAGGAAGGAAGGAAGGAAGGAAGGAAGGAAGGAAGGAAGGAAGGGAAGGAAAGGAGGGAGGAGGGAGGGAAGGAAGGAAGGAAGGAAGGAAGGAAGGAAGGAAGGAAGGAAGGAAGGAAGGAAGGAAGGAATTAGGTGGTGAAGGAAGGAAGGAAGGAAGGAAAAAAGGAAGGAAAGAAGGAAAGAGAGAGAAGGAAGGAAGAAAAAATAAAGGAAGGAAGAGAAGGAAAGAAAGAGAGAAGGAAGGAAGGAAGGAAGGAAGGAAGGAAAGAAGGAAGGAGGAGAAGGAAGGAAGGGAAGGAAAGGAGGGAGGGAGGGAAGGAAGGAAAGGAAAGGAAGGAAGGAAGGAAGGAAGGAAGGAAGGAAGGAAGGAAGGAAGGAAGGAAGGAAGGAAAAAGGAAGGAAAGAAGGAAATAAAGAAAGAAGGAATGAAGGAATGAAGGAGGGGAAAAGGAAGGAAAGAAGGAAAGAAGGAAGGAAAGAAAGAGAAGGAAGGAAGGGAAGGAAAGGAGGGAAGAAAGGGAGGGAGAGAGGAAGAGAAGGAAAGAAAAGAAAAGAAAAGAACGAAGGAAGGAAGAACAGAGAAGGAAGGAATAGAAGGAAGGGGAAAAGGAAGGAAAGAAAGAGAAGGAAGGGAGGGAGGGAGGGGGAGGGAGGGGAGGAAGGAAGGAAGGAAGGAAGGAAGGAAGGAAGAGAGAAGCTGCAAATGAAATAAACTTACTCCTCCGTCTCGTTCTTGATCCCCAGCCACTCGTTGATCTGCTTCTGCCGCGTCCCCTTTTGGGTCAGCCACCTGGGGGGGGAGAGGGAAAAGATCAGGGCCCCCTCGTAGGACGAGCTCCGCACCTCGTTCCACCCGGTGGCGGATTCGAATCTCGAGCCAGCCCGAGCGGCCGAGTGGGAGAATTCGAACCTGGGTCGAGCCTTGGGAGACAAAGCAAGGCGCTAGTCCTCATGGTTACGGGCAAAAAAAGAGAGAGGCTGGTTTGGAGAGGAGGCGCCGCAGGGGTCGAACCCGGCTCTGCCTGAAGCGGGTGCTCTAACCACTAGGCGGCCAGGGCCCTCGCACTCACACCAAGTATTGGTCGCGCAGTTTCCGCAGCTGCAGGAGGTCCGGCTTGAGGCTGTTCATGCGCTTGTCAATTTCCCGGTTCTCGGACGCTTGCTGCTTCAGGTCCTCCTCCAGCTGCATTTTGCTGTCGTGGATTTCGGCAACGCGAGATTTCAGCTTCTCCGAGTTCATCAGGATTCTGAGCCGGACGGGCAGGTGGGGTATAAATGATAAAGAAGTTTTAAAACATTATATAAATTTATCAAACTCATCTGAATATCTGGGGGTGGCTTGCAGGATAAGCGTTATATGTAACAATAACAATAATAATAATAATAATAATAATAATAATAATAATAATAATAAACCAGTGCTTGCAGGACTATTATTATTAATAATAATAATAGTAATAACGACCAGAGCTTGCAGGATAATTATATAATAATAATAGTAATAACCGCTGGATCTCCTTGTCGTTCCCCTCCCTGCGGAAGCGCTCGATGTAATCGCGGCTGCACTTCTCCTGCGTCTGGCACTGCTCCTCAAAGATCTTGATGGTCTCGTTGAAGGCCTCAATGGCCGTCCGCTTCATCTGCAGCTCCTGGGGGGTGAGGAAGAGAGAGGGGGCGGTGAGAGGGAGACCCCCTTGCCAGCCGCCCACAGAAACACCCCCCCCCCCATTGAGCAGAGTTCCTAACACTGAGGACTAGAAACTTAAGGTTCAGAGCAACCGCAAGGGAGGCTGCCTGCCAGCCCGTGTGGGCAATACCAAGGGCGCAGGGCAGCTTCTTGCAGGCTCCTATGGAGCAGAGTTCACATTGAGGACTAGAAACTTAAGGTTAAGAGCAACCACAAGGGAGGCTGCCTGCCAGCCCGTGTGGGCAATACCAAGGGCGCAGGGCTCCTATTGAGTTCATAATACTGAGGACTAGAAACTTAAGGTTCAGAGGAAGCAAGCTTTGCAGCAGCGTGTCCCGGGTGCGAAACTCAGGTCCAGCTCGGCACCGCAAGTGAGGCTGCCAGCCAGAGGCAGCTGCCAGCCCGTGTAGGCAATACCAAGGGTGCAAGGCAGCTTCTTGCAGGCTCTTATTGAGCAGAGTTCACGTTGAGGACTAGAAGCTGAAGGTTCAGAGCAAGCCCGCTTTGCAGCAGTGGGTCCCGGGTGCGAAACTCGGGTCTGGCTTGGCCCCGCAAGTGCGGCTGCCTGCCAGAGCCAGGCTCACCTGGGAGGTGCGGGTGTATTCCTCGTAGAGCAGGTCATACTCCCGGCTCTTGTCCTGGTACTGCTGGTGGTAGACTTTCAGCTGCTCCCCGACGGCCTCCACGCTGTCCTCCTTCACCACTTGGTCCTGCCAAGGAGAAGCCGGACATGGTGGGACCCCCAGGGGTCATCCAGCCCAACCCGCAGGAACCCCGGTTCAAGAAACCCAGGCCGGCGGCCCTCCAAGCTCCGCCGGGGGACCTCCGAGGAAGGAGGCGAGTGGGCTGCCTTCGTGCCGACGGCCGGGAACCCCAGAAGTATACAAATCTAATCAATCAATCAATTGCAATGCCCTCGAACTCGGATCCCGCTTGCGGCTTTTGGCGGTGGGGCAGCTTTCCGGCCCCTGGGGAAAGAGGATGCTGGGCCCTGAGACCTCTGGGCATAGGGGCAGTAGATAAATTCAAATAATAATGATAATAATAATAATGATGATGATGATGATGATGGAACCTCCAGCTGCAGGCACAGTCTCCCTGGATTTCTTGGTGTGTTTTTAATAATAATAATAATAATAATAATAATAATAATAATAATAGAGGAACCTCCAGCTGCAGGCGCAGTCTACCTGGATTTCTAGGTTTGTTTGTTTTTTGCTGGAAACTGGCCCGGATGACCCACCCCCCTTGTTTCTTAGGGGCCCGCCCCCCCGACCCACCTGCTGGTACTTGGAGATGGGGTAGAGGAGTCGGGTGTCCAGCTTGGCGTTGTACTGGGCCAGGGACTCGTGCCGGTAGTGGGTGATCAGCTCCACCACCGAGCCAAAGGTCAGCGGCTCCGAAAAGCCGTACTTCCCTTCGCGGTGGAAGATCTTGATCAGCTTGTTGTTCCCGCCCTTCCTGCGAGGAGGAGGAGGAGGAGGAGACGGACGTCAGGTGTGGGGCCAGGCAAACGCGGCAGAGCAGGATTCGCAACCGGGACCCGTGTAATAGATGATGGAATTTAATCGGCCAACAGGATACTTTGATGTCAGAAGGGTTTCCTTCCTTCCCTTTCTTTCTTTCTTTCTTTCTTTCTGTCTTTCCTTCTTTCTTCCTTTCCTTCCTTCCTTCCTTCTCCTTCCTTCCTTCCTTCCTTCCTTCTCTCTTTCCTTCCTTTATTTTTTCCTTCCTTCGCCACCTAATTTCTCCTTCCTTCCTTCCTTCCTTCCTTCCATCCTTCCTTCCTTCTCTCTCTCTCTCTCTCTCTCACCCCTTCCTTCCTTCCTTCCTTCCTTCTCTTCCTTCCTTTATTTTTTCCTTCCTTCGCCACCTAATTTCTTTTTCTTTACTTCCTTCTTTCCTTCCTTCCTTCCTTCCTTCCTTTCTTTCCTTCCTTCCTTCTCATTTCTCCTTCCTTCCTTCCTTCCTTCCTTCCTTCACCACCTAATTCCTTCCTTCCTTCCTTCCTTCCTTCCTTCTTTCATTCTCTCTCTCTCCTTCCTTCTCTTCCTTTTTCATTTCCTTCCTTCCTTCCTTCCCTCCCTCCCTTTGCCAGATCCTCTTTAGAAGCCAAATCAGTGACCGTCAAGTGGCAGGGAGTTCCACAGGTTAACAATGCCTATTTTTCTTTTCTTTGCAAAACTTGGAGGGCAGTTTTTGCCTCTCCCCCCAAAGACCGGGGGGCTGGACCCACCTGAGCGTCAGCGTGTATTCGCCCTGGATTTTGCTGGATGCGTCCCGGACCAGGAAGGTCCCGTCTGGGGTGTCCCTGAGCTTCTCGTTCACTTCCTCCCTGGGGGAGACGGGGATTATTGATTTGCATTTATATGCCGATGATTTATTTCCATTTGTCATCCTAATTTATTAATTCTACCCCACTCATCTGGCTGGGTTTCCCCAGCCGCTCTGGGCAGCTTCCGGCAAAAGATTAAAACGCAATATTCAATATTAAAAATATTAAAAATATTAAAATGCAACAATACCGCCCCCCAGCCCCCCGTTACCTGGAAATGTCGCCCCAATACCACTCGGCGTCCTGGAGGGTGGTGCCGTTCCCGTTGGCCAGGGGGGCTGAGGCTGCCGGCTTGGGTTTGGGGGGCAGGGCTGGAAAAAGAAAGTGGGAATTGGGGTGGGGGGACACGGGGGGGGGCGGTTAAGAAAAGCCTGAGGACCATTTCCTCTCCCGCCCCCACCTAATTAATTAATTACCTGGCGGGGGCAGATCAGCCTCGGGGTCTTTCGCCTCCAGGAGCAGCTCCAGGAAAAGGGCAGAGAAATCTGGGGTCCCCTCAGCACTGGGGGGCAGAAAAGACCCCAGGGTTACCCCCTTAATAATCCACACACATGCCGTGATTAACTGAATATTATTATTATTATTATTATTATTATTTAATGGGACTACGGGCACCAGCTGTGGCTCGACTCTGGTTCCATTTGCAAAATCCCTGGACGACTTGCTTATCATTATTTGCTAAAAAATCAGTAATTTTTGATAAAACTGCGATTTATGATTCCAAAAACGAAACCTTCCTCTAGTTGCAAATCTTAAGCGGATGCCAGCAAGGCTGAACCTTCCCGTAAAAAAGAAGAAGATTTTAATCAAGGCTTGCTGACTAGTGATTTAGATCGTGATTTAGATCAATTCGATTTAAATCATAGCCACCCTGTTACTACTTCTACTAGTTTATTATTATTACTATTATTATTGTTATTTTAAATCAAGTCCCACTGACTAGTGATTTAAATTGTGATTTAAATCAATTTGATTTAAATTAATGTGATTTAAATTTCAATCAATTCGATTTAAGTCAAATCCACCCTGTTACTACTACTAGCCATTATTATTATTATTATTATTATTAATCAAGTCTTACTGACTAGTGATTTAAATTGTGATTTAAATCAATTTGATTTAATTTGATTTAAATTTAAGTCAAACCCACCCTGTTACTACTACTACTGATAATAATAATAATAATAATAATAATAATAATAATAATAATAATAATAAAGAGCCCTCTACCCGGAGGTTTCAGGGCGGAATAAAACAGAACAGAGCAGATGTCCAGAGAGGGGTCCCGGGTTCTGGTTCTGACCCACCTGGCGGCCGGCGCCCCCCGCAGGACCAGGCCCCCAAAGAGCTCCCCCAGGGCCCGGGGCCCCAGCCCGTTGCGCTCGGCCTGCTCGGCCACCTTGGCCCAGTGGCGCAGGAGGAACTGCAGCGTCAGCAGGTGTGCCAGGGGCATGGCGGGCGGCGCCAGGAGAGACAGGAGATGCTGCCGGCCGGAGTCCAGTGGGGGCGCGTCTGCAAAAAAGGAAAGGAGGGGGTTAATTTCCAAAAAAGAGAGAGAGAAGAGAAAGGTTTGGGGGACTCAAAGGACCCCCCCAAAGTCCTGGGTCCAGGAGAACCGAGGCACTCTGCACGCGCTCAGGGGTACCTTGGTGATCAAACTTGCCGTATTTTTTCGTGTGCGAGGTTTTTTCCCCCAAATTTTTTTTAATGGTTTTCACAATATTATAAACACACAAAGACAAACATAAATCATAGCCTTGTTAAAAATTACAGTTATTAACTTTGTTAAGCGACTTCCTTGCTTCCCCTCGGTTGAATTTCGTTTGCATCTCCTTTGAACCGTTTTCCAAATCCCAATTTTAATGAAATTTAACTTAAACATTAACATCCTTAAATCGTCACCTTATAGAATTAAACCTATGAATTCATCACTTAACGTAAATAAAATCCTAAGCCCAATTAAGTATCTGCAAGATGTTTTCAGTTAGTTTAACAAATTTAACTAAATAATCATTAAATTTATTCCATTCTTCCCGTGTGCAAGGTTTTCCCCCTAAAAAATAATGTCCAAATTTAACTAAATAATCATTAAATTTATTCCATTCTTCCCGTTTGCGAGGTTTTTTCCCTAAAAAAATAATGTCCAAAATTTCTGAACAAACGGACTTCCAGAACAGATGAAGTTTGGCACTTTTGATCTTTATTTTGCGTTTTTGAGGCTTTTTCGGTTAACTTTGGTTAACCCAGTTCAGCTACTGATTGATTGATTGATTGACTGACTGCGGAAATGGATAAAAGCCCCCCATCCAAACCACGACCATCATCAGCGCAGGTAAAGAAAAAATAGTAATTCTAATTTTGATCATCTACAATACTTCCTTATTTATTTTATAGTACAGTACACTGATTATTGCTTTCGTTTTATGGACCGATGGACTCGTTAGAGAGTAAAATTCACGTTAAATTGCCGTTTTAGGGGTTGCTGTTAAAAGCCTGGAACGGATTAATTTGTTTTGCATGAATTTCTAGGGGAAAGCATGCCTTGGTTTTGGAACGCTTTGGTTTTGGAACGGAATTTCCGGAGCGCATTTTTCCGTCTATAAGATGCCCCCTATTTTGGGGAAGTGGATTAAGTTCGGGAACCAGTGTACCGCTGTATATATACACACACAGCCCGCCCCCCAAATGTTTGTGAAAATGAGAATACGCCTCACCCTGGAGGATGCGCAGGATTTCGCACCCGAGTCCGGGCGGGACCACCGGGGTGGGCAGGTCTTGCAGGTACCCCTTGAGAGCCTCTCCCAGAGACGGGAGATCGAAGGCGTCCAAGTCGCCGGACGCAGCCCAGTCTGGGGGGAGAAAATAATAATAATAGTAGCAATAATAATAATAATAATAATAATAATAATGCTGCAATTCTTGCCCGCCACCAGCCTGCCACTCACCAGCTCCCAGCCTCAGCTGTGAGCAGGACGTCCGATAGAGAGATGCGCTGTCCAGCCCTGTGGGGAAAACACGCAGCCGGTCGACTTGGGGGTCTCAAGGGGCGCAGGACCCCCAGCGCCACCCACAGCAAAGCCCCTACTACTCTCCACCGGGAAAATAAGGAAATTAAAAACCTTTCCTGTAAAATGCTCCACCGGGGTTCCTGCCAAACCCTTGCTCAGCTAATAATAATAATAATAATAATAATAATAATAATAATAATAATTTATTTATAACCCTCCCACCTGGCTGTAATTATCACCATCCTCATCATCATCATCATTTATGGGTGTCCTGTCTCTTTCCCAGGCGGGGAGTCGAGGTGCACCTTTGAAAACCCCCCCATTATTAAAAAAGGGCTCAAAACGTGAGGAAATGGAATGAGAGACCCTCCCCAAATTCACTAGAAGCCTTTTCATGAGGACTAGCACCCCCCCAAAACACACACACACACCCTCCAGCCCCCCCCCCCGTTCTGCTCACCTTTCTTCTCAATGGCGTCCACCAGCCTGCACAGCAGGGGGGGCGCCACCTCGGGGGGAGCAAACTGCTCAGAGAGTTCGGGGAGAGCCAGTCCTGGGGGGGGGAGAGAAATCGGGGGGGGGAGCAGACAGTCAATTTGGGGGGGCGAGAGAGAGAGACCCCTTGAAATGGAGGGGTCCCCCAGCGGTCATCTAGTCCAACCCACCCCCCCCCCCGGCAATGCGGGAAATCTCAACGAAAAAGGGGTTTTTTTATTTAAACCAAATCCATTTAAATCACCATTTAAATCACCAGGGTGGGTTTTATTTAAACCAAATCAATTTAAATCACCAGGGTGGGTTTTATTTAAATCAAATCCATTTAAATCACCATTTAAATCACCAGGGTGGGTTTTATTTAAACCAAATCCATTTAAATCACCATTTAAATCGCTAGTCTGTAAGACTTGGTTTAAATCAATTTTTTTACAGAAAGGCTCAGCTGGAATATTGACAACCAAATGAAGGTTTCCTTTTTGGAATAATGGATTTTCAGAGTAGTTTTCACAGTCGTGAAATTATTGATTTAGTTCTACTCTTAGAAATACATAGAAATTATTGTGAGGTTTAATAAGTTAACTTTATATTTGGACAACTTTTCTGCTATAGGAGAAAACCAATCATTTCCTTAATAACAATTTAAACAATTTCTTTAACTAAAGCAGTAACATTATAACATATGTATCCCTTCTTCTTAACCGATGTGGTTAAACGATTTAAAAACAGTAACTTAGACTCAGTTTTAGCACATGTGAAAAACTTTAAACAAATCCTTACTTCCTGATTGTAGCCTTTGGGCTACAATGTAACTCAAACAGAAAAGCTTTAGAAAGGCTTTTCCTCCAAATGCATTTTATTTTAAAAATCCGATTTAAATGTTTAAAAATCCGATTTAAATGTTTAAAATCCGATTTAAATTTTTAAAAATCCAATTTAATTGTTTTTAAAAATCCAATTTAATTTTTTTTAAATCCGCTTTTTTTAATAAAAAAAATGAAAAACATAAGAATAGATTTTTATCTGCCCTGCTCGCCGCACTCGTCATCCCCGCACCTCACCTGCTTCCTCTTTTGACGCTGGGGCGGCCGGCAGGGGCCTGATCCCCCGGGGCCGGTGGGGCGGCAGGGGTATCTTGACCGGCCCCACGTACTCCACGTAGGTCCCGGGGAAGTCGCCTTTCTGCTTGGTCCGCTCGTTGACCCCCAGGATCCAGCCGATCTGGTGGGGGGTCTGCTCGTCGCCCTCCTTGAACCCCAGCGCCTGCAGCGCCCCCTTGCTGACCACCAGGGTGTCTCCGGGGAGCAGGTCAATGTCGGCCTCCCGCTCCTTGCGGTACGGGTACAAGGCCCGGTACTGGAAGCCGTCGGCGCTGCCCATGCTTCCCGGGAGGAGCGAGCGGAGGAAAGCGCTCCGCAGAGGGATGAGGAAAGGCGCCCCTCTCCGCTACGCTCCCTGGGGGCTCCGCATGGGTCTGGGGGGTCCGGGGGTCGGAGCGAGGAGGCGCCGGGCGGCGTCGGCGCAGCGCCCGGCCAGCCCCTTAAGTGCAGCCGCGCTCCCGCAACTTGAACCCGCGACTCAGCCACACGATGGAGCAGAGGGAGGGAGCGACCAGCATAATCCGGGGAGGCGGGGGGAGCAGCGGCAGCCGAGAGGGGTTTTTCCGGGGGGCGGGTGTTTCCGATGCGCAGGATGGGGACCCTGGAAAAGCAGAGGGGGGAAAGGAGAGAGAATTATTCAAGTAATAATAATAATAATAATAATAATATATTCTTCATTCCTCGCCCATCCGGGGGAAAGGAGAGAATTATTCAAATAATAATAATAATAATAATAATAAGAAGAAGAAGAAGAAGAAGAAGTTCTTTATTCCTCACCCATCGGGGGGAAAGGAGAGAATTATTCAAATAATAATAATAATAATAATAATAATAATAATAATATATTCTTTTTTCCTCGCCCATCTGGCTGGGTTTGCCCCGCAAAGCAGCAGCAGTCAATGCCAAGACCGGGAGATAATAATAATAATAATAATGGTGAGTGGGTAAAATCCTCCTCCCTCCTCAAAGCCTGGCCCCGATCCAGGAGCAGCGGTACCCACAGGTGGGCGCAATTCCTCTTCTCCCAAGCTGCCCCCACCCCATTTTTCCAACACCCCCCCCAAAAAAAATTCTGCTTACTTAAAAAATAAAATTGGGATTTACGGCTCTCTCCTGCCCCATATCCTTTCTTGTCTTCGGTTGGGGGGGACGCGATCCTGGCTCTTTCCCCAGAGTAAGGCAGAGGGGCCTGGAGGCAAGAGTCAGGTTGGGGGTCCGGGAAAAGGGGGGGTCCAGATCAGGGGGGGGGCGACAGAGAGTCAGAGAGAAAAGGGATTTTTTTTTCTCCGGAGTCGGGAGGAAAAGATGGGGAAAAATTCCTTCCGGGTGCGAGATTACGAAGAGGAGGAGCGAGAGGGAAGAGGGAGGGAAGAGAGGAAATGTAAGGCAGGGAGGGGGTTCCAGCGGTCATCCAGTCTGACCCCCGTCGCTGAGGACTAGCGCCTTGAAAGCGCTCTAGCAAAGCGGGATTTTCAAATTCATTTTGGTTTCGTTTTAAATACGTTTAGGGGAGCTTTTAATATCTGACGGAATTATTGCATTTTATAATATTTTGCCGGAAGCCGCCGAGAGCGGCTGCGGAAACCCAGCCGGATGGAGGGGATATAAATACATAAATAATAATAATTAGTTCGTCTTCGTTTCTTCATTTAACCCTTTCACGCCGTTTTGTACGATTGCATTTTATGCAACGCTGCTATTTTTCTCGTTTATATGACGCTCGCAACAAGCGCCAACTGTCTAATTAATGACTTGCTGGTGGTTTAATTTTAGCTAATGGATTCTAATATTGCTTTCTTGGGTGTAAGTGGTTTATTTTAAAATCGTCGCGACTTTTTACATCTAGATAGGAGCCGATTGTCATTTTTAACGTTTGATGTTTCGTTGTTAATTTTGTGCGGGTTGGAAGCCGCCCAGAGTGGCTGGGGCAAAATAATAATAATAATAATAATAATAATAATAATAATAATTTGGCCCTCCAGATGTGAGAGGGGAAGGGCAGCAGCTGGATCAGGGCCCGAGTTCAGGTTCCCGGCTTGGCCCCCAAGCAGAATAGCCTTCTAAGGTAGACTGGCTCTGTCCATGGAGGCTCCATACGGGAACCCTAATAAATCTATTAATTTATTATAGATTTATATATAATATTTATATTATAAGAGCCCGGCGGCTGTTGGCTCGGGCCCACAGTCAACAGCACCCCAAGGAAGGAAGCAAAAAGGGTGTATTGTCTCCTGCTTGGAGCTCACAAGGAAAGCTTTAATTTTATTTATAAACGTAAAAATACAAAAATACACACACACACATATAAATATACATATACACAAACTGCGTATATATCCTCATGTATGTAATTTTGGCAACTTAAAAAATAAAGCACGATTATTATTATTTAAAAAAAGAAATTAAAACAAGAGCAATTCACCATATATGTAATTTTGGCAACATAAAAAATAAAGCTCAATGATTATTAAAAAAGAAATTAAAACAAGAGAAATTTCCTCCCCAGGGAGGAAAAACGTGAGAATGCAAAGGGAAATTGTGATGAAGTTGGGTTTGGAGGAAGTTCATGGGGGGAATCCAGTGGATCACAAGCCCCCCCCAAAAGAAAAGGGGTGCGTGGCTACAGAATGGGCTGCAAGTGACAGACACCCCCCTTTGGGAAACATTGGTTGCAAAACTTGCAAGCGCCCCGATTCTGATTGCTGAACATAAGAATTAGCAATAAGCTCATTTTTTTTAGGCTGGGGGGAGAGAAATGCACTAAAGAGGGACCCCCCTCCAAAAAAAAAAAGGAGAAATATCCTCTTATATATATATATGCGGCAACATTCCTGGCTGCAAAGACCCCCCCCCAAAAAAAATAGGCCTTCGTTTTTAACACACACAACCCCCCAAATGCAAATAGCAGGGAGTTCTGCACTTCCAAATTCTAAATATGCACCAGCTTTTTATTAACCCCCCCCAAAAAAATAAATGAGTGGCAGCTGCTCACGTCCCGCCCCCCAAAAAAACCCTTTAAATGCTTCATTTTTAAACTACCCCCCCCTGCAAAAGCAGCCAGAGACTTGAGGGCCGGTTTGCAGCGATTGCAATTGAAATATATTTTTTAAAAGTCTCCCCCACCCCTAATTATTTTGCATGTTGCAAATCCCCCCCCCAAAAAAATTAAAAATAAAATTGCAAGGCTATCCTGGGCTGGGAGGGGGTGTGCAATGGGGCTGAGCTGTGGGGAGGGGTGCAATGCAATGCAATATGTCCCCCACCCCACCCCCCAAAAAATAAAGCACCCACTGGGGGGGCCCGGCCTGCACCCACCTCTCGCCCGCGGAGCGATCCGTTCCTGCCCAGCGCCGCTGCAGCCAGCGGAAAGCCCCGGGAGAGGCGGAAATGGCCGAGCGGCGGCGGAAAGGCCCGAAGGCTCGGAGGCCAAAGAGGGCGGCTGGTTTTGTGGGCGAGGCGACACGGCAGGGTTCTTTTCGGCCTGGGCTAGAATAAGAATAAGAATAAAAAATTTTATTTATACCCCGCTCTTTAAAAACCGGGCTCAGGGCGGCTAACAGCAAATATAAAACGTTGATTATTATTTCTACTATTATTATTTTAAAAAAAATGAATTTATTGCTTTTTTCTGTGCCTTTTGCTCATTTAGTGTGTTTTTTCCCTCCGATTTGATCTATAAAATGGTGATTTTCTCGAGTCAAAAGTGTTCTTTTGGGGGGGAGGACTGATAATAGCTATTATTGATTATGATTCATTTTATTTATACCCTTGATAATTATTATTACTGCAATGCAGGAAACATTTCTTTATTTCCTTGGTTCTTTCTTTTATATCCTCCTTTTCCTCCAAGATCAAGGCAGCGCAAACACCTTGGGGGAACTCAGTTCTTTGGAGAGAGTGGCAGCCTTTGCAATGTGGGCCAAATTAATCTGAAAAAAGCAATAAAAATATGCAAATTTAGGAAGCAAATGACAATGGAAATTTAATAAGCAGCACTTAAATCAATAAGCAAAAGCCAATATTTCTATGGGACGTGGAGAGAGTGTTGACCTACAACCGGAATTCGCGTTGCTTTGCTTTAGCTCTTTTCCTCTACGGACTTCTCTCTGTACGAAGAAGCCCGAAGGCCGGGCGGAAGTGACGCGCACGCAGGGGTTCCGGAAAGAGCCGAGAGCCCTCTAGGTTCCCTCGGTCGACGGAAAGAGCCGAGCGGTGCCGACGAGCTACGGAACTTGCCGAGGCCTCGAAGCGAGTCCGTCCGGAAAAGGCCGAGCGCTTGCCGTGACGTCATGGAATGTTCATACTTCCAGGGAAAGTTTTTGGGTTAATTTGAAGCCATTTGCTGATAGATATGAAACAATGAAAGACATTTACGTCCTTATTTAATTTTTATCTAATATAAAATTATATATAAAGTGACTATGATTGATACTTTGTATGTATAAAATAATGAATATATATGTCAATGAAGTTTTATATGTACAATGTTTCTATACAATTTGTTTTGCTATATATATAATAAATCAATCAAAAGCAATTCCTCTCTATAAGAAATAATAGGTGTAAAAATAAATTAATTCCTCTAAGCAGATCTGGATTAACAAATAAACAGGGGTGTGAATGTATTTGGAACTCGATCAATTATTATTATTATTATTATTAATATTCTGTACTTCCTATATAACGTCCTGAAATCACTGATGTGTCTTTATTTGATTTTTATCTAATATAAAATTATATATAAAGTAAATATGATTGATACTTTGTATGCATAAAATAATGAATATATATGTGAATGAAATATGTATGTTTTATATGCACAATGTTTCTATACAATTTGTTTTGCTATATATATAATAAATAAATCAAAAGCAATTCCTCTCTGTAAGAAATAATAGGTGTAAAAATAAATTAATTCCTCTAAGCAGATATGGATTAACAAATAAACAGGGGCGTGAATGTATTTGGAACTCGATCAGTTATTATTATTAATAATATTCTGTACTTCCTATATAATGTCCTGAAATCACCGATGTGTCTTTATTTAATTTTTATCTAATATAAAATTATATATAAAGTGACTATGATTGATACTTTGTATGTATAAAATAATGAATATACTGTATTCGTGAATGAAATGTTATGCATGTGTTTTAGATGTACAATGTTTCTATACAATTTGTTTTGCTTTATAATATATGTATAGTAAATAAATCAAAAGGAATTCCTCTCTATAAGAAATAATAGGTGTAAAAATAAATTAATTCCTCTAAGCAGATATGGATTAACAAATAAACAGGGGCATGTATGTATTTGGAACTCGATCAATTATTATTAATAATTATATATATATATTATATATATATATGGTGAAATTTTTCACCTATGATCTTTTTCTTTTACTTCTTTATTTTTTCTTTGTTCATTTTTCCTGTTTTTCTGATATCTTTCATTTCATTCCTTTATTGTGAACAGCATTTTATAGAGGTATAAATAACTGTAAATATGAAAAGAGACAAAATATTCTCTATTCCCCCCCTTGGTTATATGTATTTTCCTTTTCTTTTATATTTTCTTTTGTTGTAAATATGTATGTTTTCTAATTTGTACTTAATAAAAAAACAATTATTATTATTAATAATAATATTCTGTACTTCCTATTTTGAAATCGCCGATATTTTGGGGTTTTTTTGTTGTTAATGCTTTGAACGCCTATTTTATATTTGCCATTTTCTGCAAGGTTGCATTGGAGGCTTGCAAACCAACTTTGGGAATATAACCCCCTTAAAATATAAAGGGGCACAGAAATAAAATGAAAATTAAGTGAATTGCCTCTTAATTGCATTTTTTCCAAACTCAGAAGCCCCTTCTCCCAGTGGTCTGAAATATAATTTTGCATCATTTCTCCAAAATCTTCGCCGGGTGCCTCGGGTGCGAATCACCCCCTCCCCTTCCTCCCACCCCGCAAAAATTGCATTTTTTGGGGGGTGTTTTCACAACTCAGACCCCCATTTCATATCCTTCCCCCCAATCCATCTCGGAATAAAAAAAGACACCCATTTCTTCTGGTTCCATTCATAACTTACTTTATTTTCCTTCCCAAAAACGGGCTTCCAGAGACCGTTTTCCGTAAAGCAAACCGAGGAGGGGGTTCCCCACCCCCAAATTCCCAAATCCGAAAAACCGTGTGCAAGAGCTGAGCAGCCCCCAAACTTTCTGCTGCCACCATAAAAAAAATTTGCTAAGTTCCTCAAGGGTTAAATTCAGGGGAGCCCATTTCGCAGATGGGAAAGTTGAGGACACCATAAGTAACCAGGGCAAAGTTAAACGGGGAAGCAGTTTGGGGAACCCGGATATATATCTATACCTTGGGGGGGCTTGTGGGGAAGGAGTCTGGGGTTCCCGGGAAAGGGGGGCAGCACCCCTCAAACGCAGCGTTGCCCCAGATCGGGAAAGCGAGCCAAGCTGCCTCTATTAAGGAGGCTCTTGCTTCCAGAAATCTCCCTGCATGTGCGAATCCGCGCAAGATCCAGGCTTTTCTCGCTTCCAGGCCCCCAATTAAATTGCTTTTTTGCAGGAAGCAAATCCGGCCGACGAGGACTAGAAACTTGACATTTTGGGATTAAACATGGCAGAGAAGGTCCCCCAAAAGACCCCTGCCTGCCAGGGAAGAGCTCAATGGGTTCCCTCTCCTCCACGAGGTCTAGAAACTTTATTAGTAACAGAGGGGCTGCGGCACAAGGGGGGGAAATATCAGTTCTTCCTGCAGAAGGTCCCGGGTTCAGTTCTTACCACTGGCATCTCCAGCTGGGAGATTGGCTGAGCGAAATCCTGCAGAGATGCTGCCGGCCAGGGTTGGGAATATTAGGGTAGAGCCAGATGCCAGCATGGCTTAACAGTCAGGGAAATTGGGGTCCAACATCAGGAAATGACCCTGTTTGGGGCTGCTGCCCCTCGCGACGGGAACAGCGGACCCCCTCTTCCTTGGGCAACGCTCCCGGGGTCCCCCTTCTAACCACAGAGTGAACCCCACTTGCTGACCCACACATCTCCTCCCCATAGGCTCCCGACCTGATTCGGGGCGTTCCTTGCGGACTCCTCCCTTTCTCCCCCCAAGTCCGCCACCTGCTCTCATGCTGGGGTTGACCCCCGGGGGGCTGAAAAACTCGGCTCTGGGTGTGGGGACCGGGTGCGAATCCCGGACCCCGACGGGACTCCCAGGGTCCCAATGCAGGAATCACAGCAGCGTTCTGGAGCCAGGGGCCACGCAACGAGGATGGGGGTCCCCTGGCATCGGGGCGGGGTCTGGGGCCCAGACCGGAGGCGGCGGCGCAGGGGGGCACGGACGTCTTGGGGACCCGACTCCTGCGTTGGCGCGGGTTGGGCTGGATCACCTCCCGGTGTCCCAAAGCTGGGATTCTGTAACTGAAGGGCTGGCAATCTCAAGGACAGAGCCCCAGATGTTTCCCCACTCCGGGGAGAAAATGCTTCTTTCTAAATAGAAGAATGTGCCCATTTTTGTGCCCCTTCTTCATTGGGGGCTCTGCCCCCCAGATGTTTCGGGCGCCAGCCCCCCTCTGGCCCCAGATGTTAGGCCTAGCCTCTAGGAAGAGGCCTTTCCCCAATCCCAAAGAGAATTATCCCCCCCAAGACCCCCATTAAAATAGGCATGCCCTCTAGATGCCCACAACTGGCTTGCCACTGCCCCCATGCCCAACTGCCCCCCAAAACACCCTGGGGAGATTCCAGAAACAGCGGGCCCCCTTTAGGGCAGGGAAAGGGGCGCCTCCTTCCCTGCCCCCCGGAAGTTCACTGGTCTTCCTCAACGCCCCTCTGCCTGGGCGCAGAGTCCTCTTCCTGGTCCACAGCGGGCAGCCAGGCTCCGGAGGGCCTCTCGGGGGTGCCCAGCGCCCCCCACAACCGCCTCCTGGGGGGACTGGGCGCTCCGCCACTTGTCCTGCGCCCGGGGGGCGAGACGCTGGCGAACTCCACCGCCGTGGTGCCGTCTTCCTGCTCGATGTAGACGCGGGCTTCCAGCCGGGCCGGGTAGGACCCCTGGCACTCCCACTCGGGGTCCCCCTGCACCGCGATGTGGGGCACCGGCGGGCGCCAGGGGGCACCCTCCGCGTCGGGCTCGTCGAAGCTGACCTCCTGCACCGCCTCCTGCTTCTTGAACGAGTCCCGGCGCTCTGAGAGGTTCAGGTGGCGCATAACCACCACTTCGGAGTCGGTGCCAGGGCGGGCATGGGAGCGCCGGGCGCCGGGATCTCCAGCGCCCGGCTCGCCCGTCGCCGCCTTCTGCCTGCCCTTCTCGGGGATTTTCTCGGCCGACTGGACCCTCTGGAGCAGGGGCGAGCGGGCGCCGTCGGGGGCACGGGTGCCCGCGGGCGGCGAAAGCGCCTTGCCCGCCTTGGAGGGTGGCAGCGGTGAGGGGGACCTCTGCGGGGAGGGCGGGGCGGCGCAGGCCAGGGGCGAAGGCGGGATGCTGCTGGTGGACTTGCGGCGCCCGACTTTGTAGCGCCCGGCGGTGCCCAGTTTGGGTGCCAGGCCGTGGAGGGAGCTGGGGCGGATGTGGCCGGCCGGGGAGGGTGGCGTGCTGGGCGAGGGGGAGGTGGTCTGCGGGGAGGCGGGATCTGGCGAGGGAGGGAGAGAGAGAGAGAGAGAGAGAGAGAAAGGGTGAGCAGGAATTCATCCATGGGGCTGATAATAATATAATATAATATAATATAATATAATATAATATAATATAATATAATATAATATAATATAATATAATATAATATAATATAATATAATATAATATAATATAATAATATATGGGTCATAATATAGATAGGAATAGGGATATGAAATTTACAGAGAAAATTCCAGCCGGAAGCTAGGAACCCAGGTAGACTGCCTCTATATCTATCTATCTATCTATCTATCTATCTATCTATCTATCTATCTATCTATCATCTATCTCTATCTATCTATCTATCTATCTATCTATCTATCTATCTATCTATCTATCATCTATCATCTATCTATCATCTTTCTCTATCTATCTATCATCTATCTATCTATCTATCTATCATCTATCTATCTATCATCTATCTATCTATCATCTTTCTCTATCTATCTATCATCTATCTCTATCATCTATTTATCTATCCAGCCATCTATCTATCTATCTATCTATCTATCTATCTATCTATCTATCATCTTTCTCTATCTATCTATCATCTATCTCTATCATCTATTTATCTATCCAGCCATCTATCTATCTATCTATCTATCTATCTATCTATCTATCTATCATCTATCTATCTATCTATCTATCTATCTATCTATCTATCATCTATCATCTATCTCTATCCATCTATCTATCTATCTAATCAAAATAAAAGCCACCTACGAAAATGATATATGAATGCTATAAGCAAGTAAACCCCTCAATAATATGTTGGGCCATAGATATGGGTCATAATACAGACACGGAAGCATGGGAATGATTGTGGAAGAGGGATCTGAAATTTACAGAGGAAATTCCAGCCAAAAGCTAGGAATCCAGGTAGACTGCCTCTGCAGCTGGAGGTTCTATTATTATTATTATTATTATTATTATTATTATTATTATTATTATACTGCCCTATGCCCAGAGGCCTCAGGGCGGTACGCAGAACAGATCAACGTTAAAAACCACCATGTATCTATCATCTATCTATTTATCTATCTATCTATCTATCTATCTGTCTATCTAACATCTATCTATCTATCATCTATATCTATCTATCTATCTATCATCTATCTATCTATCTATCTATCTATCTATCATCTATCTATATCTATCTATCTATCTATCTATCTATCTCATCTATCTACATCTATCTCATTTTTCTATCTCCATCATCTATCTATCTATCTATATCTATCTATCTCATCTATCTATCATCTATCTCTTTGTATTTATTTATCTATTTATCTATCTATAGATATAGATATAAAATCAAAATAAAAACCACATATGAAAATGATATATTAATGGTATGAGCACGTAAAACGGGAAAAGAGCTCAAATTTAGTGCTTCCGGCTGTGGAACCCTCTTTCTGCATCTACCCTGTGGCGGTGAGTTCCACAGGCTAACCGGCTGCCGGATTCCCTCCCCGGTCTGCCCCGAACCTCCCAGCCGGGCTATAGAGCGCAGCTGTGTAGAGGGACCCCTCACCTGTTGGGGCGTCCGGGGCGGGGCTGCGGCAGGGGGTGGGGGGTCCCGGGGAGAGGCTGTGGGTGGGCGAGGCGGGCAGGCTGTCCCCGGAGGAGAGGGAGTGGTGGAGCCCCGAGGAGAAGCTGCGGCTGGGGTGGAGGGCCGACGAGGTCTGCTTGGAGATCTTCCTGAAGAGCGATTTCCGCCTGCGGGGAAAGAGGCAGCGCGGCGCAATGGTCAGGGAATTATTCGGGAAATGGTCGGAATAATAAATAGCCGTCGCTCGAACTCGCTCCCAGGTAGGCTGGGCCTGTCCGTGGAGGCTCAATCTAGGACTCCTAAGAAACTAAGAAGCGCCTGCCCCCAAAGCAGGCTATGGGGTGCCCCACAGGCAAGAAACCCCCACCCAGCAGGACCCGAGAGCAGCAGCCGTTTCTCGAACTCGCTCCCAGGTAGACTGGGCCTGTCTGTGGAGGCTCAGTCTAGGACTTCTAAGAAACTAAGAAGGCCCCAAATAGGCCCCACAGCAGGCTATAGGGTGCCCCATAGGCAAGAAAAGCCCCCCAAGGGCGGGAGCCGGGTTCGAGTCTGGCCCACCTGTCCTGGCTCTCCCTCCGGCGGCTCTTCTTGCTCCTCCTGGCCATCCGGGTCCTGGAGCTGTTTTTCCGCGCGGGGCCCACCTTGATGCTCGTGTTTTCCAGCGCCGTGGTGCGCAGCGCCACCTTGTTCCCGCTCTGCAAGGATGGAGGAACAGAGAGGGTTTGGGTGGGTGAGCTGCTGCCGGCCCGGGTAGGCAGTATGTGGCCCCCCAGCCCACCTACCTTCAGCAGAAGCTCAACCACGTCCATGTGGACCAGACCCAGGACCGACTCTCCGTTGACATGCGTGATGAGGTCTCCGGCCCGCAAACCCGCCTCCTGAGCGGGGCTGCTGTCCTCAACGCTCTGCAACCCAAAGCAGGCAATGTTTAGAGCCGGGTGGGAACCCCAGTGGTCATCCATCCCAACCCCGCTCTTCGTCCGGAACCCGCTTCCGGGTCCTAAGCTCCTAAACCTCTGTTCCTTTGAAATCTCATTTATTAAACTTGTATTTGGGCGTTGGAAAGATGGGATAAAACCGCATTTTCCTCCTGGAAAAGGAGCCTGCATCTCCCGATTCCTTTATCTGAATCTCGGGTAGCCAATGCTGCCAGCCCGTGTCTGCACTAGTGGGTCAGATGGAGCGAATAAAAGGCAAGCCTTGAGGACTGGGAGCTTGGTTTGTTTGAAAGGCAATTAAAGGATACTCTCCCCCCGGATAGGGATGGGAAAAAATGACCCAAAGGCTGAAATCTTGGAGAGTTGCTGCTGCCGGCCCGTGTAGGCAGTATGGGGCCAAACAGACCAGCCTGGCAACTTGTGTTGATTTGCCCCTATTTCAATCCGCTTGGAGGGAGGAGGACCAAAACTCAGGGGCTGGTGGAGGAAGCAGAGGTTCTGGCACGGATGCTGCCAGCCAGTGCAGGCAAAACCAGTCGGGCCAATGACCTGCAAAGCCGGTTCCTGTTTAAAACAAGCCTTGAAAGAATTCTCAGTCTGAATGCCTTTATCTTTAAAGGAAGGGCTGCCGGCCAGTGCAGGCAACACTAAAAGATCCTAAATCTGGATGCCTTTCTTTCTAATGGAAAGGCTGTAATTTCCGCATCTTGAGGACTAGCACCTTGGTGTTATTTTCAACCCTCTGTTTCTCACCCAGACCATGTGATGCACGGCGTAGACGTCGCTGTCGCCCATGTAGACCCGGATGGCGCGCAGGGTGAAGCCGTACTTCTTGCCTGAGCTGTGGATGACGATGGGGGGCCGCAGGCCAGAGCCCCCCAGCAGTGGGTCGCGGCTGGGGGATGAGTCCCGGGAGGAGGGGTTGGAGGAGAGGGAGCGGGGAGAGATGGGGCTCACCAGGGCAGCGCCCCCCAAGTCATCTGGCAGGAAAAGAGGAGAGGTAGTTAGGGGGCGCCCCACTTTTTTGGGGGGGTTAAGGGCTGGGAAATGGCTTGGGGGGAATTAAGAGCCCCATAAGTAAGGAGCCCCCTAAACAGGAGCCAGGAGCAGTATAGAAATTCAGGAAATAATCGGAATAGCCGTCGCTCGAACTCGCTCCCAGGTAGACTGGGCCTGTCTGTGGAGGCTCAGTCTAGGACTCCTAAGAAGCTAAGAAGGGCCTGGCCCCACAGCAGGCTATGGGGTGCCCCATAGGCAAGAAACACCCCCAGCAGGACCCGAGGGCAGTATAGAAATTCAGGAAATAATTGTAATAATAAGTAGCCGTCGCTCGAACTCGCTCCCAGGTAGACTGGGCCTGTCTGTGGAGGCTCCACCTAGGAGTCCTAAGAAGGGCCTGGCCCCAAAGCAGGCTATGGGGTGCCCCACAGGCAAGAAAAAACCCCCAAACAGGACCCGAGGGCAGCAGCCGTCGCCCGAACTCGCTCCCAGGTAGACTGCCCCTGTCCCTGGAGGCTCCGCCGAGGAGCCCTAAGAATCTGAGGAGGGCCAAAGAGGGGCCCCCATCTAAGCCCAGCTTCCCCAGGTCTCTGCCCCATAGGCAAGAAGCCCCCCATGCAGAACCCAGCCTTGCTCTCAGGTAGACTGGCTCCGTCTAGGGAGGCTTTGCTTGGGCATTGCGAAATTAATAATAATAATAATAACAATAATAACAATAATAATAATAATAAAGGGGTCAGGGTCCGGCCCCCCACCGACCTGCCCCGATGATGAGCGAGAGGGCGGAGACGGAGGCCGACTTGGGCACCCTGCTGCCCCCCGAGGGGGTCCTCTGCTTCCCAGGCGTTTCCTTGTGGCTGCCAACCCGGCGCCCCCCACCGGCCTCGCCGTCCAGTGGCAGGGAGTTCTTGGTGCCCGTGCTGTTGCTCCGCAGACGGATCCGGCTCAGGCTGGACAGCTCAGCTGCAAGGAGAGGATTTATTTGGGGTGGAAGGAATCCAGTTTGACCCCCCAGAAAAACAACAATACCCCATTGCAGAAACCCACGGCGGACGCCTTTTTCCTCTGCCCTCCCAGCAACCTTTCCTCTGCTGTGGCGACGGCGGGACTGGAAGCTGCTTGGGGCAGAGACCCGGTTTTTTGGATCTGAAAGGATTTCTAGGAAGGATTTCTGAAAATATGGGACGTATTTTCCGTACGACAGACGCGAAAAACGCGTCTTTTAAGGAACTGGAACGGAGTCTGGTTTCTTGGATTGCTGTTTCAATAATAATAATAATAATAATAATAATTTTTATTTATACCCCGCCCTCCCCAGCCAAGGCTCAGAGTGGCTATTGATAATATTGATAATATTGCCATAATAATTTTGTGCAACCCATAATATGGCATTCGTGGCCAATGCGTTTCCTAGCTGAATTGTCTTTCAGCGGTTTGGTTTAGCTTTTAATGTTTGATGTATTACAGTATTTTAATATTTTTTTTGGAAGCCGCCCAGAGTGGCTGGGGTATAAATAATAAACTATTATTATTATTATTATTATTATTATTATTATTATTATTATTATTATTATGGCTTCCCCAAAGTGGCTGTTTCCCCAAAGCCAGATGGACGAAGGAATAATTAACAATTAATTAACAATTAATCACGTTTTAGAGGCTGCAATTGCTTTGCTGGTGATTTGGCAATGTTTCGCAAACCATCTTGCGTATATTAATATAGAAAAGCAGAATAGAAATTAAAAATGAAATTAAATGAATTGTGCCTGGAGACCCGCTGCTGCCGGTCCGTGTTGACAGCAAGCAGCTCAGCTGGTCAAGGAAACCAGCCGCTTCCCTGTGTCCCTGTTGCATTTAGCTTTTAATTTTTCAAAAACCATGAGGACTACAACCTTAGCTGCTTTTTAAACAGCCCAGTGCCAGAGCTGTGTTTAATAGACCCGCGTCCTTTTGCCACATATTCCGTCAACTGCGTGGCGAACGACAATATGGAAAAGGCAGGATGCAAATTAAAAATTAAATTAAATGAAATTAAAATGAAATTAAAAATTAAATTAAATTTAAATGAAATGTAAAATTAAATTAAATTAAAATTAAATGAAATTAAATGTAAAATTAAATGAAATTAAATGTAAAATTAAATTAAATTAAATGTAAAATTAAATGTGAAATTAAATTAAATTAAACATAAATAAATGTGAAATTAAATTAAATTAAAATTAAATGAAATTAAATGTAAAATTAAATGAAATAAAATGTAAAAATAAATGAAATTAAATTTAAATTAAATGTAAAATTAAATTAAATTAAACATAAATTAAATGTGAAATTAAATTAAATTAAACATAAATTAAATGTGAAATTAAATTAAATTAAACATAAATTAAATGTGAAATTAAATTAAATTAAATGTGCCTGGAGAGCCGCAGCTGCCGGTCCGTGTTGACAGCAAGGAGCTCGACCGATCAAGCAAACAGGTCGCTTCCCTGCTTAATTCAGCCCCTGCTTTTATTTTATTTCCAAGCCATGAGGACTAGAACCTTGGCTGCTTTTTAACCAGCCCAGTGCCAGGTTGTTTCCACCCACCTACCTGCCAGCCCAGCGGCTTTCGCGGGGGTCTTGGCCGGCCCCTCGGGGTCGCCCCCCACCACGAAGACGGGGCGCTCCCTCTTGGGGGGCGCCCGGCAGGGGCTCTCGTCCTCGGAGGAGAAGGCGAACCTGGGCATGGCCTCCAGGCTGCAGGTGGCGCTCAGGGCGGGGGGCCCCCCGCGGGCACCGCACTCCTGGCGGAAGGAGAGGGCCGTCGAGCCGCAGGAGGTCCAGGCGCGGAGTCTGGGGGGAGAGGAGGGAGAAGGGGGTCAATATGGGGCGGGTGACGCGCCAACCCTGCAGGGAAGGGAGAAGGGCCCCCCCAGGTGCCAACCCCAGAGTCCTGGGCGCTGCGTTTAGGTGGCACCCATCTGTCTCGAGGGACAATGGAGTATTCTCCCAAGGGGGCTGCTTTAGGGTGACCATGTTTCGAAAACCCGGGCACCAAAGTTGCAAATAATACAAAAAACTGGGCACCGAAGTTGCAAATGATACAAAAAACCGGGCATGGAAGTTGCAAATGACACAAAAACCTGGGCACCAAAGTTGCAAATAATACAAAAAACTGGGCATAGAAGTTGCAAATAATACAAAAAACTGGGCATAGAAGTTGCAAATAAAAAAAAAACCCGGGCATGGAAGTTGCAAATAGACACAAAAACCCGGGCACCAAGTTGCAATGACACAAAAAACCCGGGCACCAAAGTTGCAAATAACAGAAAAACCGGGCACCAAAGTTGCAAATAACAGAAAAACCCGGGCACCAAATGGCAAATAACACAAAAACCCGGGCACCAAAGTTGCAAATAATACAAAAACCCGGGCACCAAAGTTGCAAATGACACAAAACCGGGCATGGAAGTTGCAAATTAATAACAAAAAAAGGGCACCAAAAGTTGCAACGGGAAGTTGCAAATAATACAAAAACCGGGCACCAAAGTTGCAAATGACACAAAAACCGGGCATGGAAGTTGCAAATAATACAAAAAAAGGGCACCAAAGTTGCAAATAATACAAAAACCCGGGCACCAAAGTTGCAAATAATACAAAAAACCGGGCATGGAAGTTGCAAATAATACAAAAAAAGGGCACCAAAGTTGCAAATAATACAAAAAACTGGGCACCGAAGTTGCAAATAATACAAAAAACCGGGCACCAAAGTTGCAAATGACACAAAAACCCGGGCACCAAAGTTGCAAATAAGTTTCGGAGTTGCTTTTAAGGAACGAATGGCAACCTGATTTTAGTGGCACCAAAGTGCCCTCTCCCCGGGGCGCCCCCAGCCCCATGCCCGGCCATGCCCCCCCCCGGTGCCCACCTGGTCTCGGGGGCCGGCAGGTGGCCCTTCTCCTCGTCCCAGCGCTCCCCGCGGTCCTCTTTCTCGGCGCGGCTTTGCTCCGGAGACGGCGAGGCGCCCAGGGAGGAAGAGGCGTTGGCCAGGTGTTCGGAGCTGCTGTACACCTGCGAGGGGCAGAGATGAAAATGGGCACCTGCGTGGGCACCGCCCGGGAAATAAAAAAACCCAGAGCACCCTCTGGCGCTCTCAGGTAGACCGCCTTGGTCCATGGGGGCTCGAGAAGGAAGCCCCCCAATTGGGGTGCTGAGCCAAAGTCTCCCTCCTGCTCTGGGTTTTTTAAAAATATATACGGTAATTTTTATTACATTTATTTTATTTTATTTTATTTCATTTATTTCATTTCATTTATTTTATTTTATTACATTTATTTTATTTTATTACATTTATTTCATTACATTTATTTTATTTTATTACATTTCATTTATTTTATTTTATTACATTTATTTTGTTTTATTTTATTACATTTATTTTATTTTATTACATTTATTTTGTTTTATTTTATTACATTTATTTTATTTTATTACATTTATTTTATTACATTTTCCATACTTAACCCAGTGCCAGAAAGAGAGAGAGACCCCCGGCTTTTTGGCAAGACCCCGGTTCGAATCGCACACGGTTTCGGACGACGGAACGTTTCTTTTCCTTTCTGTAATTTTTATTTTTCTGTTTACTCATTTATCCATCCTTAAGCTATCAAACAGAGGGCTGCCAGAAAAAGAGAGACCTCCGACTTTTGGCAGGACCCTGGTTCGAATCGCGCACGGTTTCAGGAGACGGAACAGTGCTTTTCCTTTCTATATTTCTTTTTAGATTTTCTGCTTTACGTTGCAGAATATACATTTCAACCACCTTAGATTATCAAGGACTTCCTTTCTCTTTCCGTGGTTCGTTTCACGTCTCAAAAATCCCTGCGTATTTTACGAAATCTATTCCCTTCCTACATCCGCCGAAGATTATTTGCACTGCTGAATTGATCTTTATGCTGCCAGCCTTCTCTGGGATACACAATTATTTCCCATATATTCAATATATTCCAATTTTCTCTATTCTATATTTTAAGTCTGCAAGCTGCGCGTTTTCTCCCAAGTTAAATTGCCATTTTTCGTTCCTTTTTTGCATTTGGGGGCAAAGAAACCGGGGCCACCTACGTAAATCCTCCCGTTCTTGTTTGCAACCCCTTCCAAGGTAGACTTGCCCTGCCTCTGGAGGCTCTACCAAGAAACCATAACTAAGATGGTGGATTTTTCGGAACTAGCCGACCTAACCGGAAGGAGGAGGAGTATGTGGAAGAGTGGAATAAATTTAATAGTTATCTAGTTAAACTTGTCCTGTTAAATTAAATGGAAACAGCTTGCAGATACTTGACGGGCTTAGGATTTTATTGATGTTAAATGATGAATTAATATGCTTAATTCCATAAGGTGAAGATTTAAGGATGTTCATGTCGAAGTTAAATTTCATAAGAATTGGGATTTGGAAAACCCTTCAAAGGGCATGCAATGAAATTCAACCGAGGGGAAGCGAGGAAGTCGCTTAACAAAGTTAATAAGTGTAATTTTCAATAATTTATGTTTGTTTGGTGTGTTTGTTTGTTTATAATATTGTGAAAACCAATTAAAAAAATTTTTTGGGGAAAAAAGAAACCGTAACCAAATTTGCGAAATTTGCAGACCTTGCTGAACCGGTGTGAGCAAGAGGAGAACTGCCGGATCTCCAGGGACGACTCCTCGTCGTTGGTCTCCTCGTCTTCGGACCCCAGGTGGCGATAGCGCTCCGAGCGAGCTGGGGGGGTGGGGGGGGAGAGCAGGAAATGACGTCAGGGTTGGGGGGGACAAGAGGCCGGGGGTCCCGTCCCCCCCATGAAAAAGAAGGGTGCACCTGCCCTGCAAAACCAACACCCAGCCGGAGGCATATGGAGAAGCGTCAAATTGTGGGTCGGAAAGGGATCCATGGGTCATCCAAACCAACCCGGAATCTCTCTCCACCCCCCCCACCCGATAATTTGTATTAATTTTCCAAATTGAAGGCCATTTCTGACATTTGCGACGCGGCTTGCGCCTCAAAGCAGCCGCCTGGCTTTCTTGCTCCGCCCGCTAGGCCTTACTGTCGAAGTAGCTGGTGTCGTCCTCGGCTTCCAGCTGGGGGATGAACTCGGCCTTCTGCCGCAGGAGCCCGTTCCAGTCCAGGGTGCGGAAAAAGGGGTTCTGCTTCACCTCGTGCGCCCCTCCTGGCGGGGGGGACAGGAGGGCGTCAGGATCGGGGCCCCAAGTGGCCCCCTCTTAAGTCCAGGGGGCCACCAATGAGAAGCAGCCAAGAGCAGCCCCCTCTCCCAGCGCTTTTCCAGACACTGGGCTAAGGTAGATTGTGCCTGTCCGTGGAGGTTCTCTTTTTGAGAAGCAGAAGAGTCCTGAAACGGTTGGATCAGGCCCCGTCTAGTCCCGCCTCCTCGCCTTCCGGTGACCAACCAGATGCTGAGCACGACAGCAGCGACGCTCAGCGGTTGGAGTTATTCACAGGCATTTCCTGCCTCCAGTGGAAGGCAGTTCCACAGGTTAACCGGGCGCTAATCAAAGGAGGAGGCCTTTTTTCGCCTGCCCCGAATCTCCCAACCTCCGCCCCCTCCATTGTTTTCCTGTAAGTAAATTTATGCCCCTCTCCCCATCTATCGAGAGGCGGCGTGGCCTAATGGTTAGAGCGCTGTCCCAGGACCCGGGTTCCAATCCTTGCTGGGGGGGGGCAGGAAGATAAAATCCTTTACCTGTGCCCAGGCGTTCCAGAGGGCAGTGCTTCAAGAGTTGGGTGATGAGGTCCTGGGCGTCGGGAGGGAGAGCCTCGTCCCCCTCCGGCCAAATAATTTCGTCTGGAACGAAGAAAGCGGAAGAAAAACTGCGTATGAGCGGTTTTTTTGCCCCCTGGGCACCACCCCAAAACAAAACAGGGTTGGGTTGCGAGTCAGTCGGGACCCCCAGGGGTCATCCATCCCAACCCAATCGCAGCTGAAACCCTCTTCTCCTCCGAACCATACACTCCTGAAAGCCGCGGGGCGCGAGACCTGGGTTCGAATCCTTTTCTACTGGGTTGCCCCAGTAAAACAGGCCTAGACAGCATCTTTAGAAGTAGAGACTTGCCAACAAAGGTCTGTATACTTCAAGCTCTGGTTTTCCCAGTAGTGATGTATGGAAGTGAGAGCTGGACCATCAAGAAGGCTGATGGGCCGAAGAATGGATGCTTTTTGAATTCTGGTGCTGGAGGAGACTCTGGAGAGTCCCATGGACTGCAAGAAGATCAAACCTCTCCATTCTGAAGGAAATCAGCCCTGAGTGCTCACTGGAAGGACAGATCCTGAAGCTGAGGCTCCAAGACTTTGGCCACCTCATGAGAAGAGAAGACTCCCTGGAAAAGACCCTGATGTTGGGAAAGATGGAGGGCACAAGGAGAAGGGGGAGACAGAGGACGAGATGGTGGGACAGTGTTCTCGAAGCGACCAGCATGAGTCTGACCAAACTGCGGGAGGCAGTGGAAGACAGGAGGGCCTGGCCTGCTCTGGTCCAGGGGGTCACCAAGAGGAGGACACCACTAAACGACTAAACAACAACAAATATAAGAGAGAGAGATGGATGAGCTTTGGGTGTCCCTCCCTTCTAGGATCCTGCGGAAGTTCAGATGACGCAAAGCTTCCTCTCTCTCCCGGCAGTTTCCCGAAGCTTGGGGGGGCGAGAAAAAGTGGGCAGAGAACAGACCCCATAATTGAGCTTCTCCCCCCCTTGGTGGCGTCACACGCCATGGGTCAGAAGGGGAGCTTTTGTCTCTCCCTGAAAGGACCTTTTGTTCGGGTGGTGCAGAAGAGGCAGCGCTCTGGCCGGCAGCTGCGGCGGCGGTTGACCCCGATTCCCCCAGAGATGGGGGGCTCCCCTCTGCCTTCGGATGCAGAAAAGCTCAGAGCCCATCCTAAACCCCCTCCGAAAATTAAAAAAGCACCGCTAGGTGAATGCAGATAGATTGTCACTGGAGCTGGAGGAGAAAAACTTCGCACAAACTGATGGAATAGGCCAAAATGGCAAATTTAACTGAAAGGCTTAAGAGACAAAGACAAGAGAGATTTTTTTAAAAGACTGGGAACCATTTATGTTGTAGTATTTAAGGAGCTAGTGAAAAGAAATAGACTTCACTTTTATTGTGAAATTAATGTTATTTTGTCTTTTCTTTTCCTCTTTTGATTTTTTGGCGGAGGACCAGAAGGATATGCTCAGCTTCTGAAAAGGCGGAACGTGAGACTCGAACTCAAGCAAATTAGGAATCGGCCCGAAGGAAAATGTCAAAAGGAGTGGAACAAATTTATTTATGACTTGAAAGAAAATTGTATTCATTTAAAAACGTTTGTAGCATTAAGGTGAAACGTTTGGTAATGTGAAGTTATGACGATGATTTATAAATAAGAATGTGATTTTTAAGGTGATTATAAGATAAAGAAGTGATTACAGGAATGCGAAAGACATGTTATGGGCTATAGGGATGTCAGAAAGAGAGGTAGAAGGAAGTCAAAGCTCAGGTTGAGCAAATAAGATGTGGTGAATATGTGCATTGAATTAAAATGAAATATGTAAAAACTCAATAAAAATTATGTTAAAAAAAGAGACTCGAACTCAGGGCTGTGGCTTCGAGCCCCATTTGGGCCCAAAAAATGCCTGTCTTGCAGTGGGGCTGGTTGACCCTTGGGGTCCCAACTATATTTCAAACAGCTCACTTGGTAGAGCCTTTTGGGGGTTGGCGGAGGACCAGAAGGATATGCCCAGCTTCTGAATAAGCGGAGCATGAGACTCGAACTCAGGGCTGTGGCTTTGAGTCCCCCTTTTGGGCCGAAAAGATGGGGGTGGGCTGGATGACCTTTGGAGGTCCCCCTTCCCAAATTCTCCCCTTTGGGGCCAAAAAGACGCCTGCCTCGCAGGAGAGGGTTGGGATGGATGACCTTTGGGGTCCCACCTATATTACAAATAGCTCACTTGATAGAGTTTCATGGGCCCGGCGGAGGACCGGAGAGATATGCTCAGCTTCTCAACAGGCGGAGCGTGAGACTCGAACTCAGGGCCGCGACTTTGAGCCCCCCTTTTGGGCCGAAAAGGTGGGGTTGCATTAGATGACCTTTGGGGAGCTCCCTTCCCCGAATTCTCCGCCCCGGGGGAGAAGCACCTACCGCTGATCACCTGTCCGAAGAGCTCTTCCGGGGTGTCTCCGAAAAAGGGGACGCAGCCCACCAGGAACTCGTAGAGGACGATGCCCATGGCCCACCAGTCGACCGGCTTCCCATAGCCCTGGTTCAGGATCACCTCTGGGGCGATGTACTCGGGGGTCCCGCACACCTGGAAGGGGGAAATTCAGGGGGTGGTCAGGGTGCCCCCCCGTGGGGAGGGGACCCCTATCCTGCCGACAAGGGAAGGGGGCGCATCTCCCCTCGCGGGGCAGACCCGACTCTGCCTCTCCCCCCTCAGAGACCCGCCCCCCCAAATTTGGGTCCTGGGCCCCCCTAAGCCCTCCCCGGAGACCCTACTCCTCCTGGCAAAGGACCCCCCCAAATTTGGGTCCTGGGACCCCCACAAGCCCTCCCCGGAGACCCTCCTCCTCCTGGCAAATGACCCCCAAATGTGGGTCCCGGCGCCCCCCAAGCCCTCCCCGGAGACCCTCCTCCTCCTGGCAAACAACCCCTAAATGTGGGTCCCAGCGCCCCCCTAAGCCCTCCCCGGAGACCCTCCTCCTCCTGGCAAACGACCCCAATATGTGGGTCCCGGCGCCCCCACATGCCCTCCCCGGAGACCCTCCTCCTCCTGGCAAATGACCCCCAAATGTGGGTCCCAGCGCCCCCACATGCCCTCCCCGGAGACCCTCCTCCTCCTGGCAAAGGACCCCCAAATGTGAGTCCCGGCGCCCCCCTAAGCCCTCACCTGCTTGTCGACGAATTCCCGGGTGTCCTTTTCGATGTGTCCCTCGTACAAGTTGGTGGCCATGTTCATCAACCCGATTTTGGAGAGTCCGAAATCCGTCAGCTTGATGTGCCCCATGGAGGTGATGAGGAGGCTATGGGGTGAGGTGGGGGGCAGAGGGGGGGAAGACAGGTCTCAGTTAGGGGGGGAGAGGGACCCCGGACAAAGGGGACCCTGGAAGGGCTGGGAAATAAAATCCATTTCGCGTCCCAAACCGTGATACACCGTATTTTTCTGTGGATAAGACGCCCCCTATTTTTTGAGCCCCAAATTAAGAAATAAATAATTGTGTGTATAAGACGACCCCCAGTTTTAAATTTAGGGGGGAAATATAGTCTTACACACGGGAAAATACAGTATCAGTATGTTGTCCAAAACTGGTTGGAAGTCCGTATTGTGACAGATATTGGTTTCGTGATACCTGGCGATATATTGTGAATCGCAATTTGTGCAAGAAATTCACAACGTGGGGAAACCCGCCAATGTCTTCCCGTAGCTCCACCCTTATTTCAGATATTGTGATATAACAGTATATTGTGATAGTTAGCTGGGGATAGATCGCAATGTTGAAAAACAGCTCCATCCTTATTCCAGACATGATATATCAGTATACCGTGATGTTTAGCTGGTGATACATCATGAAGTTGAAAACTATTTCTGTCCTTATTCCAGACATCGTGATATATCAGCATATTGCAATATTTAAAGGTAAAGGGACCCCTGACCCTTAGGTCCAGTCGTGGCCGACTCTGGGGTTGTGGCGCTCATCTCGCTTTACTGGCCCTTAAAGGTACAGTTTCCGGGTCATGTGGCCAGCATGACTAAGCCGCTTCTGGCGAACCAGAGCAGCGCACGGAAACGCCGTTTACCTTCCCGTCAGAGCGGTACCTATTTATCTACTTGCACCTTGACGTGCTTTTGAACTGCTAGGTTGGCAGGAGCAGGGACCGAGCAACGGGAGCTCACCCCGTCATGGGGATTCGAACCGCTGACCTTCTGATCGGCAAGTCCTAGGCTCTGTGGTTTAACCCACAGCGCCACCCGCATCCCTGGAAATATTTAGCTAGTGATATATTGCGATGTCGGAAAAACAGCTCCGTCCTTATTCCAGGCGCCGCGATATTTCGACATGTTGCGATATTTCAGCCTGGCGATATGTCAAAACCTTCGACCAGGCATGGCCAAACTCGGCCTTCCAGCTGTTTGGGGACTACATTTCCCATCATCCCTGGCCGCTGGCCCTGTTAGCTAGGGCTGATGGGAGTTGTAGTCCCAAACCATCAGGAGAGCTGAATTTGAAGGTTCTTGGCATAGGCAAATATGGCCCTCCAGCTGTTTTTGGACTACAGTTCCCATCATCCTGACCCCTGGTCCCATTAGCTAGGGCTAAGATGATGGGAGTTGCAGTCCCCAAACAGCCTTAGACAGACCCACGTGCAGAGGGGTGCCGGAAGCCCCCCTGTCGGCCGACCCTTACTTGTCCGGCTTGAGGTCGCGGTGGACGATGCCGTAGTTGTGCAGATACTCCAACGCCAGGACCGTCTCAGCAAAATACATTCTGGCCATGTCCACCGGAAGGGGACCCATGTTCTTCAAGAGGGTGGCGCAGTCCCCACCTAAGGGAGACAGAGGGGCGGTGAGAGACCCCCGGTCCGGGAACGGGGGGCAGATCCCTCCCCAATCCTGCCAGTCCCATCCCGGGTGCTTGAAGCCTCGCCGTCGGTCCCAGGATCCCAGGATCTCAAGCTAACAGGACCAGCGGTCAGGGATGATGGGAACTGTAGTCCCTAAACATCTAGAGGGCCAAGTCTGGCCGCCACTGCTCAAGATCAGGCAGAGCTAAACTCAGCCCTCCAGATGTTTTTGGACTACAACTCCCATCATGCCTAGCTAACAGGACCGGCGGCCAGGGATGATGGGAGTTGTAGTCCCAGAACATCTGGCCTAAACCTTGCAGAATAACTTCGGGAGAGGAGAAGGAGTTTAACCCCAAGGCGGCTGGATCGCACGCGGTATGACTCTTCTTCCGGCGGCCCAGCGGGTGCCGGACGTACTATGCCACCTTTTCCGGGCCGGCGCCTGGCGCTACGACTCCCTCACCTTCGACGTACTCCATGACCATGCAGAGGTGGCGCCGGGTCTCGAAGGAGCAGAACATGCTGACCACAAAGGGGTTTTCGGCAAAGGTGAGGATGTCCCGCTCCACGAAGACCTGCTGGATCTGGTTGCGGAGGACCAGGTTTTGCTTGTTGATCTTCTTGATGGCAAAGCGCTGGCGGGTCTCCTTGTGGCGCACGAGGTAGACGGCCCTAGTGGGTGGAGCAGAGAGAGAGAGAGAGATGGGAGGAGGAGGAAGAACGGACGGCGAAATCGGCATTTAAGGGGGTGGATTCACTGAATCAGTGCTTTTTTTCTTAAAAAAAAGGAAAAATATTTAGGGGTGCTCTCGTTTTGACGTCAGGAAACCACCGTTTTATCGATCAAATCGGGGGAAATAAATACAGTAAGTGGACAAAAGGAGGAAGGTTCACATCAGGCGAGCAAAAAACAGATCGTAGAAATTTAATTTATATAAGATTATTAGTACACGATGGTTTTCATCTTGGTCTATTGTGTATGTTACTTCTGAATTTCAATAAAGTATTTAAACTGGACAGGGGGGTTGTTTAGGCAAGACAAAACAGGGGTGGGAAGCGAAAAACAACCCTATGAGGTAGGCCAGGTGGGGAGAGAAAGGGACTAGATCCGAAGGCGAGTGGGGAATTGGAGCCGTTCTACGACACCCCTGCAAGGCAGCCCAGCCCGAGGCAGAGCGAGTGGCCAGAGCCGAGATTCGAACCCGGACCACGGCTCTTGCTGCGGCTTCCCCACCCAGATGACCCAGAAAAATGTCTCCAGCAATATCCCATTATAGACACCCGATTGCAAAACGGAAAACATTAAGGGGAAATAATTAAAAAAAACCCTCACCCGTAGGCTCCGTTGCTGATCAGCTTGACGGTTTCGAAATCGCTCTCGCACGGGTTCCTTCGAGGAACGGTGGAAGGAGGGCGGCTCTGAGAGGAAGGAGAAGAGGAGGGCAAGACATTAGGATTCATTTGACTGCCTTTATACATTTAAAAATGTGTGTGTGCGTATATACAGTGGGGGCTGCGTGACGACAGCCTTACCTTTCCATGTATATAGTAGAGATACATATATCTCCCCTATATAAAGGGAAACGTAAGGTTGTCGTCACGCAGCCCCCATTGTAGTGACGCATCACCATTGTCTGAGTTTTCAGACAAATACACAGCCCTTTTTCTTTTCAACAAATATTCTTGTGTGTACGATAAAAAGATATTTATTTTATTCTTTTTATTCTATTTATTTTATTCTTTCAGCCCTAAACCCACAAGTCTCGGTTCACAACATAACATTAATATCTCTCTTATTTCCTGTACCCAACTCTGGAACCGGGTCAAGGCTGCCCACCCACCTCCAAACCCGTTTAAGAGAGGCTCTTCATCTCAAGGTCTTGGGTTCGAGTTCCGCCTTGGGCAAAAGATCGCAGGGGGTTGGAATGGATGACCCTCGGGGTCCCTCCCGATATTGTAGAATCCTACGGTTCTACGATATCAGTAGGGGGAGAGGGCTGGTCTCACCTCAGAGAAGTCGCCCGGGTGCTCTGATCCCGACAGAGAGCCGCAATCTACTTGATCGAGCTGAACAATTTCTGGAGGGGAAGAGAGAAAGAAACAGGAATGAACCCTCTGTCCCCTCCCTTAAATAAATTTCAGGGACTCTGCGAAGCGGACAGTTCCTCGGGTAAAGCACGGGATCCTCAATCGCAGGGTGGCGGGTTCGAGTTCCGCCTTGGGCCTTGGCAGCGGGTTGGACTGGATGACCCCCAGTGCCCCTTACGAATGAGGAGAGAAATTAGAAAAGGAGGAGCGAAAAACTGCTCCAGCTAAGGAGAAGATACTAAGGCAAACAAGAGGGAAAGGAAGCAGCTGATCGGCAAGCGATCAGGAGAGAGATAAGGGAGGCTAGCAATAAAGGAGGCTGCCTGGAAGAAGGAGGTAAAAGCCCCTGGATCCTCAGGATTTTTGCACTGGGTCACCCCAAATTCACCATCAGATCACACAGCATGTCCATGGCTACAGCCTGCACCAAAAAAACCACACACCCACTGTTTCGTGGGGCCGCAATGGCGCAAAAACGTGGTTGCAAAGCACGGATCCACATGGATCCTCAGGATTTTTGCATCGGGCTATCCCAAACTCACATGTCTGTGGCCACAGCATGAACCACAAAAATCCTACATCCACTGTTTCATTCAGAATAATTATTTTCCTTGTTTTCTTCCTCTAAAAACTAGGTGCGTCTTATGGAGCAAAAAATACGGTACATATTTTGCTGTGTGCCAATGGCTTGAGATACCTATTCGGTCCATAAATGACTATATAGCATATATTCTAGTGATGTATGGAAGTGAGAGCTGGACCACAAAGAAGGCTGATGGCCGGAGAATGGATGCTTTTGAATTCTGGTGCTGGAGAAGACTCTGGAGAGTCCCATGGACTGCAAGAAGATCAAACCTCTCCATTCTGAAGGGAATCAGCCCTGAGTGCTCCCTGGAAGGACAGATCCTGAAGCTGAGGCTCCAAGACTTTAGCCACCTCAGGAGAAGAGAAGACTCCCTGGAAAAGACCCTGATGCTGGGAAAGATGGAGGGCACAAGGAGAAGGGGACGACGGAGGACGAGATGGTGGGACAGTGTTCTCGAAGCGACCAGCATGAGTTTGACCAAACTGCGGGAGGCAGTGGAAGACAGGAGGGCCTGGCGTGCTCTGGTCCAGGGGGTCACCAAGAGGCGGACACCACTAAAGGACTAAATGAAAGCATATATTCAACACAAAAAACCCCAGCGGCAATTGGTTGCTGGCAAAGGGCCCCATTACCTTGAGGAGCTGAGGGCCGCATCAAAGTGAAATCCGGCCCTGGAGAGTTCCCACCTCACCCCCCGCCTTCCATTGGGGTCCCCGTCCGCCCCAGTTGCTCACCCTCCAGGGGGTCTTTGGCGAGACCCAGCTGGCTGATGATGTATCTTGGAATATCGGTCTTGATCCCCTGCCCGACTTTGGCGTGTCCTTCGGCGGCTTCCAAGAGATGGTAGAACTCTTCTGGGTCGAATTCCTGTGAAAAAAGGAGGATAAGAAGGGAACAAAGAAGGGAGAGAAAGAAGGAGAAGCAGGGTTTGCTTCCAGTTTAAGGTGCATTTTCGGCTGCAATTCCTTGCACACCTGAGAGTCAAGCATAGCTGTCAACGTTTCCCTTTTCTTGCGAGGAATCCTATTCAGAATAAGGGAATTTCCCTTAAAAAAAGGGAAATGTTGGCAGCTATGGAGTCGAGATCCTCCAAACGCGACGGGTTTGCAAAGATAATAATAATAATAATAATAATAATAATAATAATAATAATAATAATAATTTCTATACCACGCTTCATCCGAGGTTCACAGGGCGGTTTACAATATACATAAATACACCCTCAGTTGGGAGAGTCTGATAATCTTCATCTCAAGGTTGTGAGTTCGAGTCCTGCTTGGGGGGAATTGTTGGGGGCTGGGTTCCCACCCGACTCTGTGATTTCCCCATAATCCTTCGCATCAATAATAATAATAATAATAATAATAAATGTTATTTGTATCCCGCTCTCCCCAGCCAAAGCCAGGCTCAGAGCGGCTAACATCATATAAATAAGACAATATGCATAATACGATATACAATATGCAAATAAAATAACATTCAACATTCATTAAAGCAACATAGAACAATATTAAATATCAGCATTTCAAAATGAAACAGAAATCCACTCACAATAAGTAATTTCTAAACTCCAGTCAATCAAACCACAGCAAACCACAGCGCACAACATAATACAATACAAAATCCGACGCGTTTTCCCCTTTGACCTCCCCCATCTATGCAAAACGCGCGCCACACGCAAGGGAGAAGCGAGGAGGAAAAAAAGCGCCAGCCCTTCGATTAACGGCCGGCTGGCCGCGGGTTCGAGAGGCGACTCTCCTTACCAGGCATTCCAGGAGCCGAGCTGGACGGGAGATGATGATGAGGAATTTCCGGACCAGCTGTTCCACAAAGCGCAGCTCTTCGCTCTCGGAGCGCTCCTGGGCCTGGAGGAGGAGGACCAGAGGGAGAACCGGGCCTCAGCAGCCGCCATTTTTAAAATCACATTTACCCCCCCCAAAAAAACACCCCACGGTTCCGTTTATTTTGGCCTCTCGCCGCTTCTAATTTCCCTGAGTCGATTTCCCAATAAACCTTGCCAAACTCTCGCTTTGTCCTGCTCCGTGACGAGTTATTCGTTTCATTTATTTATGCTGTTTCTACCCAAACTTTCCCCTCCAAGGACTGGGTCGTTATTATTATTAATAATAATATTAATAATAATAAATTTGCAGGCAGCCCTCTGTCAGTAGATCTCGGGGCGGCTTGCAGTGTAGAAACCCAAGATTTTGGGGGTCCCTTTCAACTCTTCTAGGTTTGTTTTAATAATAATAATAATAATAATAATAATAATAATAATAATAATAATACATTTTTATTTATACCGCGCCCTTCTCGGTTCAAAAACCAGGCTCACAACAAATTTAAAACACTTAATTATAAAAGCAGTATAAAAACATGAATAACAATACAATTCAAAATTCAAAAATCAAATTAGGGGAAATAAGCATTAGAATTTTGAATTAACTTTGTAATGAATGACCTTAGAATTTTGTACTATTTTATTGTTGTTAGCCGCCCTGAGCCCGGCTTCGGCTGGGGAGGGCGAGATATAAATAATAATAATAATTATTATTATTATTAGAGAGGTTTGGGGAGGGGGTTCCCTCCGCCAGCGATTCCTGCCCTTCCAGCGGGTTGGGATGGATGACCTCTGAGGGTCCCACTCACGTCTCGCAGCATCTTCTCCAGCTTCTCCTGCAGCTCGGCGAAGTAGCGGGAGGTGACGAGGGCCCCCCGCGACTTGGAGAGGCAGTCGCGCGCCAGCTCAATGATCTGGTGGTGGATGAAGCCCAGGACGCCGTCGGCCAGCGGCAAAGTGTTGCTGGGCGATAAGTTGGCAATCGTCTCCGCCAGACGCTCCTCCATCTGTGCCGTGGCCTGGGGTGGGGCGGGGGGACAGGACAAGGTGGGTGGGACACCCTCCGAAACAGAGGGGGGCCAGGAAGAGAGACCTACCCCACTTTCCCAGCCGAGATCCGAGTTCGAATCGCGCGGGATTACGGGGCGGCGCTTTTACTGACCTTCGGGAACCGCTCCTTGTAGACGTGGTTCATCATCACTATCTCGTTGTCGAACGTCCCGCTCGTCCGGCCGGGGCTGCGGAGGACGGGGGGAGAAAGGGGGCTGAAAAATTGGCCAAGAAACCCCCCCCCAACCGCACCAGAAATCTCGGGCGCAAACTCTCCGGCCTTCTCTTTCGCAAAATTCTTTTTTATTCCCTTTTCCAAATGAGTTCAATACAATTTATCGCAATCGGGTTTCCCGCCCCCTCGCATAGAACTGAACGTCATGAATAAAAACCATCGTAATAAAATCATTAATAACTCAGAATGACTCAAAACTAATAAGAAAACACGGATTATTTGGAAAGTATTTGCGATGACCAGACGACGTTTGTAGGTTTGCAAGAAGCTCCGCGAGGAATAATGTTAGAAATATTGCAAAAATGAAGAAGGAGACGGGATAGGTTTAAAAACAGAAAGGCAATATTAAGTTAGGAAATGCGTAAGAAGTGAATAAGACGGAGGATGATCAGAGGTGCTGATGGAAGTCCAATAAGAATGTATTTGTGATAAGTTGTGTGGTATGTTTTATAATTTTGTATTTTAAAACCTATATATATATATATATATATATATATATATATATGAGAAAACATGCAGATCAAATTGCTTCCCATTGTTTTCACCGCTGGCGCTTACACTACGGAACGGCTTCATGAGAAGCAGCTGGTAAACAGGAGCAAAGGAAGGAAGAAGAAACAGCACAAAAGGAAAAGGGATGCGGCTGGAGGAGGAAAAGCAGCCGCCGCTCGTTTTTAGCTACAGATCTGGGATAATTTCAGGAAGAGAACAGCAATGATGATGATGATGATAAAAGATGATAAAGTAACAAACGGCTCAGACTCTTGCACGGCCTCTGAACTTGCCTCTCCTCCCCTATAGCCCTTCACCGCTCACTCCATTCCTATACACACACACACAATTTATTAATTTTATAATAACCCCCCCCAAAAAAATCAAATAATCACATTCAAAAATTTAAAGCATAAATCTTGATTGACTTCCCTCCCCTTCCATTATTTTACACTTAATTCACGCATGTCCTTATATTCTCAACCTCGGCCCTCCAGATGTTTGGAGACTACAATTCCCATCCTCCCTGACCGCTGGCCCTGCTAGCAAGGGATCATGGGAGTCGTAGGCCAAAAGGGCCGAAGGTCGAGGAAGCCTGTTCTTAGCATCCAACGCTGCAAACCTTACACCGCTCACTCCATTCCGGCCGCCCCCCAAAAATCGGAGCCCGCGGTTCGGAAGCGTCTCCTACCTGAGGCTCCGGGATCGGGGCCGGAAGTAGGGCGATCGGCGCCCGTCTTCGGCCGCCACGCTCTCGGTGCTGCGGAAGTGTTTGGAGAGGAAATGGAGTTCGTCGGGAGTGGGCTGGTAAGGGAGTTGGTGGAGGCGCTCCTGCGAGGAGGAGGAGGAGGACTAGAGAGAGAGAGAGAGAGAGAGAAAGAAAGAGAAGGCCAAGCGTCAGGAGGAGGAGGCGGGCGATGAGATCAGGGGCACCCATGGGTGCTCAGCCACCCAGCACCCACACGGAAAATCTGAATGGCCGTCCTCGGGACGGAGGAGCGAGCGGAAAGACTGAGAACGGGGAGGGCAGAGGAAAAAACAGAAGCCGGGATGCGATAGGAGTTACACAAAACAAGTGAAATACAGTATCTTTTTATATGCGACAGCAAGAGTTTTGATCGCAGCAAAATGGAAGAGTAATGAAATCCCCTCTATACAAGATTGGATCCAAAAGCTGACAGAATATGCCGAATTAGATGGTTTATCAGAAAGAATAGAGGATAAACCTAAACAGGAATTTGTTTCAAAATGGGAGGTTTTCAAAGAACATCTGAAAAATAAATACAGTAGTTTAAATTCTGTTGCAGCATTCGAGGAACTTCAGTAATAGTTGCAAGGTAGATATAAGAAATTAGATTTATGGAAAATAAGTTTAATTATGAAAAAGATGTGTATTGGCAATAAGTAATATGAATTTAAAATATGGAATAGACTTGGGTCTTTAGTGTTAAGACCAATAGATGTTTTATTGTTTGCTAAGAAAATTATGTGTCTATGGTTATTTGTGTAATTTGTGTGTAATTTGGTATTTGACGTTTTATTGATTTAATACGCTGTAAACCGCTTTGAGGTTTCTTCTTAAAAATATAAAGCGGTATAGAAATTAGAAAAGTAAATAAATAAACAGGGGTGCCTTCCAATTCTGCCGTTTTGGGTCTCGGCTGCGTGTCTAACCCCACCCAAAAAGCAAATGGGCACACGGATCCTGGCAGTGCTGTGGGCTGACACCTGCGGAACTCCCCGCTGCAGGAGGAAAAGACCCACTTACCGAGACGGTGGAGCTGGGGGTGTTGGTGCCATAGCCGGAGGAGGGCAAGGATGCCAGAGACCACCTTCGGCCGTCAGCCCTGGAAAGGGAAGAAGGAGAGCAGTCGAGCGAGTGGTTTCAGTAAATCTTTTTCATGCAACGAGAAGAGAAACCGATCCGAATAAAAGCAAAGAGGGTGGGGGGACAAAACTGGGAAACGAAAAAAGCAGAAGAAGCAAACAGAGAAAAATAAAGGACTTTTCTGCCTTTCTGTTACATAAAAGAAACATTCACTCAACAACAACAACAATAATTTTATGATTTGCACCCAACCCATCGGATTGGGTTTCCCCAGCCACTCCGACCTGATCCTAACTGATCTACTTGGTTAGGAAATCCCGAAATAGACCAATTCGTTTTCCCTTCTATGCAAAAAGCGCAAGAGGGGTTCTCTTGTTTTCAGTTTTTCTCTAATCCAGAGTATCCTCTCCAGTAACTCCAGCCACCGTTCCTCCATGATTAAATGATAGGAACTCCTTCCACCTTTGAGGCGCGGGATCTATAAAGTTCCATTTCCGGAGTGGCTGGCGACGAAACCAAAAGGCGAATAAAGTGGTTTTGGAAGCGCCAATCACCTGTCGGTCCGAGGAGCATGGCTGGGCCAGGAATTGGTGGCGCGGCGTCCAGAAAAAGAGAAATTTGGGGAGAGGAAGACAGAGAGAAAGAGAGAGGGGCGGCCAAGAGGCAAAAGGTGAGACTTCAAAACGGAAGCAAGGTACCTTTCTTCCAAGACCCTCCCTCCCCGAATTCGGGATATGCCTTTGCATTTAGCACAAGGGATTTGCCGAGTCGCGAGGGACTCCCAAAGGCCATCCATCCCAACCCGGCGAAAGAACCAATGAAGGCAACGCCCGGAAAGTTTGGCATCTCCCCAAGTTTGGAATCTCCCGACGAGTGAAAAGAGTGGCAGAAAGGGGAAAGGGGAGAGAGAGAGAGATAGCGCAAAGGCGCTGCTCGGGGAAGGATGGTTCAGTGGTTAGAGCAGCTGAAAGACCCCCAGGCTCAGGCTCCGGATGGGACTGGGGAAAGGCTCCCCCCTCCCCGGCCGGGTTTCCCTCCTTCCCAAACCCACTTGTTCCGCAGCCTGCCGCCCTGCAGACTCGCTTCGGCCCACGCCACCCCTGGCGGGCGGGACTCCTACCTGCGGGCAAAGGGGAAGCTGGCCGACGTGCCGGAGGAGAAGTTTCGGGGGCTGTCGAGGGGGCTGCTGCTGCTGGCTGCAGAGAAGGGAAAAAACAAACTGTCCTTAGCTGCGCTTGCTCGGGGTTGGGATAGATGACCAGGGGGGTTCCCTTCCAGCTCTAAAACTCCTCATAAGGTGGTAGAGGCTCCTGGGTGTTTTAAACAGAGGCCTGCTCTCAGGAATCAATTTTTCTGCCATTTTTTAATTTATACTTTTAAAATTGGGACGTCCTATTCCACACCCTTAAACATTCCTCTCCGGTTTTCTTTGTAAGAGATGCATTGTGTTTCTTTTGCTCCGTTTTGTCTTGTTTAAAACTTTCGCTGCGTTTTGATTTTCAATCCAGAAAGATTAATTTTTAAAAAAATGATGTGTGAAGCATAAGGCGATTAAATTCGGCGCTCCTGCGACGGGGATAACGTTGCTGATGGATTGGATTAATAAACAGAAGACTTTTTGGGGGGTGGGCTAGAAGGAGACCTAGGGTGCCCCCGCTTTCTGCACCCAGCTTACCTGTTGTCACTGAAAGCGGGGAGAGGGGGCGGGAGAGGGTGGGCGATGGGGTCCCCACCACCAAACTTTTCCGGTTGCTCCGTCGGCAGCTGGAAGCAAAGACAGACATCCGAGGGTTAATTGCAAGGGTTATTTCAGGGGGGGAGACCCCACGCCCCAGAGAGGCAGCTGTCAGCACCCTTCACAGATATAATAATAATAATAATAATAATAATAATAATAATGGAACCTCCAGCTGCACAGGCAGTCTACTAGCTTTCGGCCGGAATTTGTAAATTTCAAATACAAATTTCAAATACAAATTCCTAGCTTTCGGCCGGAATTTGTAAATTTCAAACCTCTGTTCCATTGCCCGTAAGTCGCAGGGTGGTTCTCAGCAAACTTCCAATATAAAATCACAAGATACATTTTAATAATTATCAAAAGTGTGTTTTATTAGGAGCTGTCAAGGTATCCAAGCACATCTGTGTCCAAGCCACATGAAATAATTAAAGCAACTGGCAATTGATTAAATGTGTGAACCTCCCTATGCCTGTAAGTCCCGGGGTCTTTCACACCCGAGAACATCTGCGTCCGAGATAATGAAAATAATCCAAACAACGGGCAGTGCTAATGTCTGCAAACTCGTGGAAAAATACACTCCCCGACTAAAGACCCTGCCTGCAAATATAAAAATCAAAATTAACACCTAATGTTGAAAAGCAATTCGTGACGGCAGCTTTCAACAGTCCAACAGTGGAAGCCTGGAGCTACGACTGAGATTAGAATTGATGTCTCCCTGCTGAGAATTACGTTGCCTGTAAATAATTCTGTGGGGGTTTCTTTATATACAGTGGTACCTTGGTTCTCAAATGCCTTGGTTCCCAAATGCCTTGGTTCTCAAACACCAAAAACCGGGTTCCGGTTTCTGAACGTTTTTTGGAAGCTGAACATCTGACACGGCTGTCGGCTATCATTTCCGGGGCACCTGCGGCAATCAGAAGCCGTGCCTTGGTTTCCGAACATTTCGGAAGTCAAACGGACTACAGTGGTACCTCGGGTTACATACGCTTCAGGGTACAGACTCCGCTAACCCAGAAATAGTGCTTCAGGTTAAGAACTTTGCTTCAGGATGAGAACAGAAATCGTGCTCCGGCGGCGCGGTGGCGGCAGGACGCCCCATTAGCTAAAGTGGTGCTTCAGGTTAAGAATAGTTTCAGGTTAAGAACGGACCTCCAGAACGAATTAAGTACTTAACCTGAGGTACAACTGTAAAAAGGTAAAGGGACCCCTGACCATTAGGTTCAGGCATGACTGACTCTGGGGTTGCGGCGCTCATCTCGCTTTACTGGCCGAGGGAGCCGGTGTACAGCTTCCGGGTCATGTGGCCAGCAGGACTAAGCCGCTTCTGGCGAACCAGAGCAGCGCACGGAAACACCGTTTACCTTCCCGCCGGAGCGGGACCTATTTATCTACTTGCACTTTGACGTGCTTTTGAACTGCGAGGTTGGCAGGAGCAGGGACCGAGCAACGGGAGCTCACCCCGTCATTGCGGGGATTCGAACCGCCGACCTTCTGATCGGCAAGCCCTAGGCTCTGGGGTTTAACCCACAGCTAGACTAGAACAGAACAAACGGACTAGAACCCCGACACCCTAAGTTTCTGCAAGATGCCCGTCTCTGGCGCGATGCCCGGTTACATCACAGGGTGCTGAGGACACCCCAGGCAAGCAGAGCCGGCCGTTGTCCGGTTATGTAACCGCCGGCGGGGAGAAGGGAAGGGGGAAGTCGGGTGCACAGGAAACCGATGGGACGCAGAAGCTCCCTGCAGGTTCCGGCCCTCGCCAGAATTGGCACCCAAGCCCCATTTTGCACCCAAAGCGGTCGCTCCCCGGCCCCTTTTAATAGCAAAGAATTGGAAAGGCGATAACATTCCCACCGAAAGGCGAAAATGACAGGATATTTACAACTCGCAAGGATGACAGGGAGAAGATGAGCGACGTTCAGTCAATAAAGAATGGGCAGTATTTAAGGAACATATTAAAAAATATGTGCGATAGTATCCATCTCCTGGCAGACCTAGAATGAATCTTGAAAGACAGAGAAAGTATACAATAAAATCTTCTTCATAATAAACGGGAAAGGAAGATGATGACAAATTGTGTACAGATCAGCAAAATGTTAAACGACACAATGTGGAGAACCGGAAGTTGGAGTTTGTGGTGTAACTGTGCTGAATAATAATAATAATAGTAATAAAAATAATTTATTATTTATACCCAGCCCATCTGGCTGGGTTTCCAGTTTGTTGAAGTGTGTGTAGCGTGTATTGGTATGCTAAATGTTATATGTAAACTGAAGTTAATTGATGTGCAATAAATATTATTTTAATTTGCATAAACTCTAACCTGATGGTTGCCATTAATTTGATTCTGAATTGATTCTAGAATGGATTTTAATTACTTGACAGTGCGATTTTATGTACGCTGTGCTATTTTTACCCATTGTTAGCCGCTCTGAGCCCGGCTTTGGCCGGGGAGGGCAGGATACAAATAAAAAATTATTATTATTATAAAGAGAAACACACGCTCTAACCACTGAGCCACGCAGCCCCTTCCCAACATTTGGAGGAAGGCGAAAAGAGGGAAGATCAAATTGGCTGCGTTGCACAGAGCACAGCAGCTGCCAGGGCCGTTTTTCGTCAGCCGCACAAACAGGAAACGGAGGCTCTTCCTCTGCGGATCTTGGCCTCTCTCACACACAAGAGGATCCCAGTTGCTTCGGGGGCCAAAGCAGTAGTGGCGCCCTGCCGTTGCCAAACGCACAGGCCGCCCTGGCGCTTCTGCTCCCAAGGGTTGCCAACGTACCGAACCCAGGTTTCCAAACGCAAAGCACGGTTTTGCTATCTCGCACCCCAAGCCCTGCTCCTCGATTGCGTTCATCGGCCGAGGAAATTAAGGGTGTTGGTTCTGCGCCTCCTCGTTCTTAATCCGCACAACCGTCCTGCCAGGTAGGCCAGGCTGAGAAGAGGCAGCGGTTGGCTTCCGAGGGCCGTGTGAGATTCGAACTCGGCTCTTTCCCAGTTCCAAAAAGGATCACTGCCTCCGACCTTGGAGAGCTAGCAGCCCCCGAGAGCAGCCCCCTCCTCGCTCCCAACCGCGGGATTTGCCGATTAATCGATCGCCAATTTATTCCCTTTCGGTTCCATTTATGGACAGCCTCAATTTCACAACAGAGGAATAAAAAAACAGGCTTCGCTTGCTCAAAACGAGAATGGTGATTTCCAAAACAAACACTTCCATATAAAACAAAAACCAACCTCACATCTCAAAGCCAACGTTGAGCTGCGCCTTTCAAGAAAAAGAACCCTGGGAATTGTAGTTTATCCCTCGCGCCGCTACAGTTCCCAGCACCCTGAAACTAAAGTTCCCAGGACTTTCTTTTTGGCGGAAGTCGAGTGCTTTAAAAGTATGCTGTGTATGAAGACTTGGCCCAAAAAAGAGGAGGGGAGGGGAGTTTGGCAGTTTAAATTTCTCACAGAGGGGAGTGTAAAAGAAAGAACGAATTAAGGGCAGAGAGGAACAGCCACCTCTTCCGCTCGTGGCGCGGAGACGCTTCGCTTGCGAAAGGATCCGCCGCCGATTCAAAACCAAAAAGGAAGTTCCCAGTCACTGCAAAACGGAGCCAGGCAAGGCTTCCGAGGCTCAGGCCCCAAAGCCTTTGGTTTAACTTATTTCAAAATAATACGACTCGGATCCTAGAACCTTTGACCCAGGTGTAAGTCCCAACAGAATGCTGCTGGGCTTACTTTGGAGGGGAGATGGGAGATGTTTGGGGCAGAGGCTGAACTCAGAGGTGGAAGCAGCAGTCCCAAAGCCCCAAGGGGGACAGCAGCAAATTTTTAGGACGCAGCGAGTTTTCTATATGGCAGAGATGGGAAGAGAACAAGTCAAAGGGGTGGTGCTGACCTTGAAAGCCCTAAACGGCCCAGTAGACCTGAAGGAGCGTCTCTACCCCGGACACCGGGGTCCATTTCCTGAGGGCCTTCTGGCGGTCCACTCCCTGCGAGAAGCCAAGTTACAGGGAACCAGGCAGAGGGCCTTCTCGGTGGTGGTGCCCGCCCTGTGAAACTCCCTCCCACCAGATGTCAAGGAGATAAAGAACCATATGACTTTTAGAAGACATCTGAAGGCAGCACTCTTTAGGGAAGCTTTTTAATGACTGGTGTTATACCACGTTTTTAATTGGGAACCACCCAGAATGGCTGGGGAAACCCAGCCAGATGGGCAGAGTGTAAATAATAAACTTATTATTATTATTACTATTACCTTGATGAAGGTGGGAGTATCTTAAAAGCATTAGAGACTCAGGTAAATGGCTCCTTAAACCAGGCTTCCGGTTGCCAGAACGGAACGCCTCCTTGCCATTTGTGGGCCGGATTTGTGGGTCGCTATTTTTCAATACGGTCCCTGAAATCCATTCCGACGGCGTGGATAAAATAGAAGGGATGGAATTCTATAGGACAGGGAGGTGCGAAAACGGTCCAGATCCAAGGACCCCCAAAATGGCAGAGATTTCAGGCCACCCGGGGATCTTCACTCAGTTGCAAGGGGCTGACAGCCAGCTGCAAAATGCGCCCGGCGAATTTCGAACACTGATCTACGTCCAAAAGGGTTGGTAGCTCCATGCGGCAAGTGTGACCCCTTTACAGTGGTGCCCCGCAAGACGAAATGAATTTGTTCTTGCGATTTTTTTCGTCTTGCGAAGCACGGTGTCGGGAAAGCTTTGGAAAAGCTTCAAAAATCACCAAAGTCTTCAAAAACCTCAAAAAAGGCTACCACACCGCGTCCTCGAAGTCAAGTCGCAACTGTATTAACGGTGTTAAGAAAAAGGAAACAAACTTGCAAGACGTTTCCGTCTTGCGAAGCAAGCCCATAGGGAAAATCGTCTTGCGAAGCAGCTCAAAAAACCAAAAACCCTTTCGTCTAGCGAGTTTTTTGTCTTGCGAGGCATTCGTCTTGCGAGGTACCACTGTATTTTCCCTCTCCACAAAGCGAAGGTAAGGAGAGTCCCACAGGAGCTGGATCAGGGCATCTAGTCCCGACTCCTGT